AGTGGGAATGTGGATTGTAATAAGTAAGAGGGTGGGGAGAAAGGTTTTTATGATGGGGGCGGGGGAGAGGTTTTTGAGACGGGGGAGTGCTGCAGATTGCGGGGGGGTTGGAGGGGTTGAGGATGACGGGGAAGGGGGAGGGGAAGGGGGATTGGGGGGGATAAGTAAAGGAGGGATAGGATATGATCGGAGGGGAAACCCGGGATAGGGAGCTGGCGATTTGTCTGTGAGTTTAGGGCGAGGGGTGGTTTGGATTGTTGGGGTGGCATGTGATAGTCTGAGGATTAATTAAGAAATATATCCGAAGGTATCTCAGGTATATAAAAATGACTTTAGTAGGCGAGGAAAAGCCCTTTACGATCACTTCTCCATGATTTCGGTACGATTGCTTAGTCCTTGAGACCCCTTAATATTATCTATGTGAGGTATGCTACCTAGGTAGGTTTGTCCCCGACGTGTGTGTCTCTAATGATGCCCTGCCCCTTCCCTTGTCGGGGGGCTCTAGGCAGGCGGTGTTAACGTGCGGCGATGGTGGAGAGACTGCCCGTTTGGTAGTCACATTGTTGGGGGCTGGATGAAGCCACCGCTTGAACGACGATATCTCTAGGTACCCTTACCACGTTCGCAGGCGGGGACGTGGCCTACGGTGGTGTGTGTGCGCTTTGAGACGTGCATGATCGAGCGGTTGCGCGCGCGTGTGTGTATATGAGTGTCCATTGCGGTGGATATCTGGAGAAGTCAAGTAGAAGAGGTGCGGCTGTTTGCTTGGTTGGTCACTTGATGATGGTGGATGAGGTAGAAGAGTATTTTGGATGATATAATACCTCTGAGAATGTTGCCTTTGAGACGATATGATGCTCGGATGATGAGATATGTCTTTGAGATGAGAGGTTTTTTCGGAATGAGAGGGAGCTCATGATATTGTCTAAATAAATCCATCGGTATCTACCCGGGTGTATTGATATTTTGAGTAAAAGGATCTTGAACACCTTCCCACTTCATAGCCTTCGACAAACCAAGTTAAGTCAAGTCAAATATTAGGTCAGATTTGACTTGTTTGACTTGGTGCCTACCTACCTTGGCACTGGTGTTTTTGAGACGAGTCCCATCTTTGGAAGATGGAGATCTTTAGGATGGGTAGTATCTTGGGAGACGATGACCTTAGAGAAACTATCATCACTCAAGGCTTTAACTTCCAATCCTAAGTTTGTGGCTGCTTTTAAGTTTAAACCAGAGATTGTTCATTATGTTTAACTGCGAAGCAGAGGCTAGGGGTTAAACAGATTTTAAGTTGAGAATCCGTCACAAACAAAGACGCCTACATCCACGAAGAGACCTCACATCCTACCATATATAAGCCTCATCACTCCACTAGTTCCGTACCCTACACACTGCAAAGTCCGATATATAAACCTACCTAATCCCAAGGTACCCAAATAGGGTTATGTAGGTATATCAAATCTATCAAGTCATCCAAATTCATCGGAAATCCAGATTCGCCAGAGTTTCAGCTACATCTGGTTTGCTTATTTGGACTTGTTTAGTATTAGCTTTGGCAGGTCTGATTGCCGGTTTGCAACTCAGACAACCTACCGGAAATGAAGCTTGGATAGCGTCTTAATAATGCTCGGATCTACCTCAAGAACGACAATGCGCCAATGCTGTTGTAGAAAATGACAGAGGTTTTGTTCATACTAAGACAGAGTCAATTATATATATAGATCTTCAAGCATAAAGGTACTCCTAAATATCTTCCTCAATCTTAACATATGTTTTAAAAAATGGAATGTCTTATAATATAACTTGTTTTATTTGTAGAATGATCTTGCAATTCTTGTTCAACGTTAAGAATAACCTTGATAAGTATTTTGTTAGGGAAGAGTCTGGTGGAAGAAGCCACAGTGGCACCCCAAAGTATAGGTGCAAGATAGTTGATTTGGCAGAAAACTGTGGTGTATAGAGAAGGCTATCCAACATGCATGTGTCTGTGCATCCCTGCCATTGGCATTGCTACTGCCATTGCGACTGCCTGGCCTCAACTTGCTTATCAGAGTCGTGGAATTATTTTACAATTAAAAGTAGCAGATATGTTGGAACTAACCAGGTGCCTATTTTCTAAACAACCCTTGGGGTGCTACGGTAGGTACTTAGTCTGAGTGTGAGGAGAAATAAGGCAAGCCGTCTCTGTGAACCTCGGCCGCTTGGCTCAGGCATTGGTGAGGGTGAATCTGCTGTGGTTTGTGTCAGCCCCTGATTCTGGGTATCTAAGCTTAAACTGCTAACTGCTTTATTTGAGAGTTGATGTGATAGGTCAACAGTTACTCCAAGAGAAATGATAAGAGTGGAGTGTAAGCCAAGCTCTGTGGGATTGAGAGTTGTGAGAGTGAAAAGGACAAGCTTGTGGTGGACGCTTGAACCACGTCAACCCCAGATCGGCGCCAGGTGGCGCCCTTGGCAAAAGCTTGTTCCGACAGGGGTCACAAAAGTAGCAACGGTACCTGACTTACAGAAGAACTGTCCAATCATGGGGCGGTATTTGCTCCAAGAGCTTCACCAGGACGACAGACTTGCATGGATGGAGGGTTTGATGAATCTTATCGTTGGATTCACCGTTGCACCGTTGGTCTGCAGGAGGACAGTGGAGTGGGAATACAAATCGGTTCTTTGAGAGACTGTGGGTGCGTGCGGTTGGGGGCCTCCAGGAAATGATCAGCTATGGGATGGATGGTGAGGTGAGGTGAGGGTTGACATCACTTCCTGCCGAGACCCAGCTCACATGAGAAACAGCGGCAGGTCACTCTTTCCCGGTATTGACTGTCATACTCCTCAGACCGAGAGTCTGCCTACATGCGTCGCCAAAACTTCGCTCATCACTGTCGCAGAAGCGCTGACATGAACCTCTGCGGACCGCCACCAACCTCGAGCTCTTGATATCTCATCCCGTCGCGATCCCTAGGCAACACCATCACATGGCAGTGCACTGCCCCTCCTCACCTCCACCCTCTTGATTCCGCGAAACAGCTGCTACTGCCACGACACCACTTATCAAACACACCTATCAACTCCGGATCATCAAGGTGCCCATTCGTCTTTGCATCTCATGCTTACGCCCTCATATCCTTACCGCTGTGTTTCGTGAAGTTTCACTCTGGCCAGAAGACCAGTTGACACCCTACAAGATCGGTCATTCGTGCGAGGCGGGGAGCACCAATCGCGCGCTTATCTACACGTCCTCTTTCGCACCTTCGTAGCCAACAGTCGCTCCTCGTTTCCTGTGCACCGCAATCAATCTTGAGAGGACGCTCCTCCTCACCAACAACCAAATCACCCTCCACCAACCGCCAATCGTGACAACACCCCACCACAAAGCCGTTGTGCCTCCCTTGCACGGCGCCACCGATTCATCCTACCCAAACCACCGGGACCTCAAGCGGCGAGATTACGTCGTGAGCACGCCGACCAGCTCTAAAATACCAGATAAGCTTTCCGAGCCCCTCTCTCGACCCACTTCACCGCAAGCGCGTGGACAATGTCTTGTAAGCACCCTTGATTCAGGGCGCCCCTTTCGCTCTGGTCGTTCTGCTTTCCCTGTTGCCATGCTTCTCTGTGTCTCTTGGCGATCTGCTGTCAAGGCCTCTCGCTGTACACAACGACAAGCAGTGCTCAAACACCGCAAGGAGACACAGCGTCTGCCTGTTCCAGGTCGAGTGACATGGCATTTCCCCCCAATCATGCCAAGCCAATCCCGGTTTGGGCCTTCATTGTGACACTGGACCTTCACTAACCACACAATGTCTTCTTTTGTTTCTGCAGATAACGCCCACCAGACCAAACAAGCGGCACGCAACGTGGCCTGGCACAAGTCGAAGTGGAATATCTTCCCGTACTCACGCAACAAATACACACATGACTCTACCAGCACTGCAGCATGGCAGTCGGCCAATGATCAGGATCTCGAAGGCCACCCGCTGGAGGGGTTGCCGATCGGGCCGTCGGATGATCCAAGGACCCCGGGAATCCCGCTGAACGGCCCCGGGTCGACGAGCAGAAACATCAATGCATCGGGACGGGCCCCTGATACGGCTGATGGCCAGTTTGGAAGTGGTGAGACGTTTGTTGGCTCGAACCCTTTGTCGGCAGGGGAGCAGAAGGTCACTAGCAGTGCGCTTAACAAGTTACCAGCGATGCGCTGGAGATTCAAACGCAGTGTCACTGGCGATGCGACGACGACACCCGAGGGGCCTACTGCCGATGGCGTCAAGAAGAAGAAAAAGGAGTCGAGCAGTTTCTTCAAGCATGTCGAGCCTAAGGAGCCGTTCACGGTTAGGAACCAGATCCAACGGGTATTCTTCAATTCATGGATCAATGTGTTGCTGATTGCAGCACCGGTTGGTATTGTAATTGCCAATATTCACTCTGTCAGTAAGATTGCCGTGTTTGTGGTTAATTTTATGGCAATTGTTCCCCTGGCGGCCATTCTGGGGTTTGCGACGGAGGAGATTGCGTTCAGGACGGGCGAGACTGTGGGTGGTCTATTGAATGCCACCTTTGGGTATGCTATGTTGACTCCGCATGGCGCTTTGTGATATGCTGACCGGACATGATGACAGAAACGCAGTCGAACTGATCGTAGCCATCATCGCGCTTGCTGATCGTCAAGTCGTCATCGTTCAGACCTCCCTCATCGGCAGCATCCTCTCCAACTTACTCCTCGTCATGGGCATGTGCTTCTTCTTTGGCGGGCTGCGGAGACGGGAACAATACTTCAACACCACCGTTGCGCAAACTTCTGCCAGCTTGCTCGCCCTCGCCGTGGCCAGTGTGATCGTTCCGACAGTGTTTGACCGATCCAGCCAGTCGCCACAGAACGATGTTGCCAAGCTGTCTCGAGGCACCTCCGTCATTCTGCTCTTCGTTTACTGCGCCTACTTGTTCTTCCAGCTCAAGACGCACTCAATGGTCTTTGCCGAAGAAAGCCGGAAGGTTCAAGCCAAACCGTTCACCCACCCCATGCGACGCAGCGTCCCCGAAGGCGCCGTCTCTCAGGGACTCGTCGCCCCAGCTGGCATTATCAGCGGCCATGGCTTGGGATCAGAGCAATCCGAGAATGAAAAGATCCGGGAAATGGTGACCAAGCCTCCTATGAGGAGTGCTTCGGGGGCAACCCAAGGCGGCACCGTCAGTAATCCCGGCAAAGGCAATGTAGAGGAAGACAACGACAAAGATGAGGTCACACTGCACTTTCTCGTTGCCATCGCCACCCTCGCCGGGTCTACGGTTGTTATCGCCATTTGTGCAGAGTACATGGTTGACTCCATCAGCGCCATCACCGCCAGCGGGGCTGTTTCTGAAGAATTCGTCGGCTTGATTCTTCTTCCTATCGTGGGCAACGCAGCTGAGCACGCCACTGCTGTAACTGTTGCCATCAAGGACAAGATGGATCTTGCTATTGGGGTGGCGGTGGGTTCGAGCATGCAAGTGGCGTTGTTTATCATCCCCTTGCTTGTTATTATTGGGTGGGGGATGGGGATCGATGCCATGACGCTGAGCTTTGATCCATTCCAGGTGGCGGTGTTGTTTGTTGCGGTGTTGCTGGTGAATTATTTGATAAATGACGGGAAGAGTCATTGGTTGGAGGGGATGTTGCTTATGTGTTTGTATGCCATCATTGCGATTTGTTCTTGGTGTAAGTTTCCTCGCAGTGAAGAGTTTGGGACAGCAAGATTGCTAACGTGGCCATGTGTAGGGTATCCGACCGATGGGAGTAGTATTGCCGGGGGGGCGGATAACAGGACTTTGGAGTTGAGTCTTTAGGGGGGTGGTGATGGCAGGGGGTGGGAGGATGGGGTAACACGATGACTTTTTCTTTTTAGTCTGGCTTGTAGAGTACTTGAGAGGAGGGTTCTCCTAGGTATAAGAGAACAGCATAGAAGGAGGCGGCAGGGGAATTTTTATATGAGGAAGACTCTACACGAGATGTTGAGGGGTTGATGTTGATAGGGGCATGCCCTAGAGAAAGTGATATTGCTGATGAAAGTTGGGGTGAATGTGTATGACTGTTGACTTGAGTCTTTCAAGATTATTGATATGCCTGTTGATTGCGCAGAAGGCCTATTTGCTACTTTGTCAAAGGATTTTGCAGTAGTTTTGAAGGCTTTTTGAGTCGCTTTAAAGGGGGTTTGAACAACTTTGAATGTGTTTTAGGTAGTTCAAAGGGATTTTGAGTAACTTTGAAGGAGCTTTGAGTAGCTTTGGAGGAGTATTGACTGTTGGTCTCCTTTATTTTCCCGATTGGTTCTTCTGCCCATAATGTCTGAGGGGCAGTACTGCACTTTGTAGCTTTAAATATTTAACGGGCAGGGTGATTCTCAAAATTTATCTTTGATCTGAACTTTTGGTGTCGTTTGTACGTCTTTTATCTCAGCTTCTAAATAGTCTTTTGTCTTAGCTTTTAATACCGGTTATCCAAGCCTAGAATGTTGTTTATGTTTATTTAGTCTAAGCCTTCAAGAGAGTTTCTGGTGGTGATGGTTTGTCTTTGGGATTTCTTTTGGGAGATTGTCTGCGTTTTTGAAGTGGTTATTATGTGTGAGATGATGTTGGCTAACGAGGTTCTGAGAGTTGGGGTAGAGTCTTGGTATTGGGGAGGTCATGGGGAAGGGGTGTGAGTTCTTTTTGGGCGATGCGCTTGCGAGCAGCGAAAAAAGGCCGTCGTGAGAGGGCGCGTTTTTCTTGTCTTTACCTCGTTTGCTCGCGCGGGGACAGAGCGTGGATCTTTCGTTTGCGAGTGTAACATGAGGAATATGTTTGAAGAGTTCACTATGCATGTATGCGTGTGTGTATGTGGTAAAGTGCTATTGTGTATATGGTTTAAGTTGGTGGGAGAGCTGAGGTTTTGGCACTGGAAGTTGGCCACTTGATGGGTGACCATGAAACATACCTAGTGTCTTAACTGTGTGATAGCAGCAAAACATATTTGATGAATGGCTGGGTACTCAACATGGTGAGTTAACTCGCAATAGCTAAGGTGGATTTGACGGGTCTTTACTACTGGGTCAGACAAAAAAGGCCATTGGGATGAGATTTGTCTTTGAGATGAGATGTGGCCAAGGCTGGCACCAAGTCAGATCTATCAAAGCCAAATCCAGACAAAAATCTGGATCTATGTTAGATTCCTTTGAATTGATAGATTTGATATGTTTACATAACCCCGGGAAGAAGGGTTATAAGCGAAAATCATGACGGAGATCATGATGGAAACATAGCTGGTCTCTACAAGAATAATGAACGGTAATCTATCAAAGCATTCGGAATCTCTTATCTAAGCTTTGGACGTATATAGTCTAGGCTTTACCTATATATATCCAAGCTTCATAAGTGTGTAATCTAAGCTTTCAGTGTCCATGATCTCAGCTTATGATTGCTTGCCCATCAAAGATGTTCTTTTTTCTTACAGACCGTTGAAAGCATTTCTTTTGATTTCGCTGGGGGGTAGCCAGATCGTTTGAATATTATTGGATATTTTTGCTCTCTTCACATGGTACCAGTTCAGCCAACGTGTCTAGAAAACGCCTTACTGTATGTATGCCTTGACCCTGGATTTCACCACTGCTGCGCCATCAGCAACCATGTTTGAAAATTTGTGAGTGGCCACATCATCAAGCCACCTTTTGTTCCAAGGAGGACGGTGTCCCAAGCCACAGCTTTGGCAGGGGTCTTGGGAGAGAGGCAGGGAGGCGCAGCCATAGATGCTCGGGTTCGCGCGAAGGCCAGTTGTTCATCAGTTGTCAGCAGATACGTTTTTTAGCCAGGAAAATTTGATTCTTGACAGCCACAAAACAAACGTTAAAGGACGTATTATCCCAAACCTGAGCAAATACCTAGGTTACCTTGGCTGAGAGACAGCTTTCTTCACTGGCCCCCACAGAGAAACGGTGCGTTACGACTGGGCAAGGACCTTACGTTTGCGAATTTTCGCTCTCGCGTGCTATGACTCCGACATGTGCGCATCACTTGGAAGCCTGCCCCTCATGGCGAGCCGCGGTCTGGACAAATAAAGAAGGCACAGCACGCATTCTGATCCCTACAACTTTTGTATTCAAATATGATGGCGCCATTTCTCCCCCCGTCGCCGAAATGGGGTGACATAATCGTCTCGGCGGAGAACTTTCGAGCTGTCAGACCCCCTGTTGGTCCTACGTCTCGTAAAAAAAGAAAAATTCGATCATACAGGCCATAAGCAGTGTTGATCAGTGAGGCAAGTTATGCTCTTCTTCTGGTTCAGAACCGCTGAGCCCGCACACAAGGCAAGTCGGGGGATTGCGGAGAGGCTTAGTCCCGCATCGTGACCAGAATTCGAACACCGAACGCGGCCCGGGACGTGTGCTCGCAGTGGCCTTCCGAATTTGCCCCTGTACTCCCGCGTGCTGGAACGGCGGGTCCCTCGGCGACGTGCTAGCCACTGAATGATGTCCAACATGCCTGACTTGAAGGTTTTGCTGTCTTCTTCCTCCATGATGGCTCCTTTGTTACTTACTTTTCTCAAATCCTTCCGCCTGTTTGGGTTTTGGTCAGCTTGCACAAAACTTTTCACACATAGTCATACGAGTACTCCTCACTGCTCACCTGTCGTTACCCCATAGCGGTCGACCATATCGCCCCCCGTCAACATGACCGTCACCAACCCACTCCCTTCCCGGCCAGCGTCTCCTCAAAAGCAAAGAGACAGCAAAACGAGCAGCACCGCTTCGCGAACCCGACACCATGAGGACAAAACTCCCAAAGACCTTTCCCCGTCCTCCTCTCGCAATATGTCGAGCGCGGAAGTATTCCAGAGTAGAAGACATGTTCTCGTGAAGACTGCTCATTCTGCCAAAGATCTTCCAAAGCAACCCGCCGGCGTCTACGGCAGACGTTCCTATTTTGGCTCGGTCGACCAGAAGTCCGAACAACTTCTTGCAGCCAAGGGTAAGGCCAAAGAGTATGCAGGTCAAGTTGTGCCGACACCTTCCACCCAGAAGCCCAAAACGGCACCAAGTGACCAAGAGCACAAGAATTCAAGATGATCCCATTCGTTCGGCATCATGCAAGTTTCCCGGGACTTCAAAATCGTCTATATGCCGTTGTGTCATACTCTTCTAGCATCATCACTATGCTTGAAGATGTTGGTATTCGGCACGGTCGTGGATGCCGTCGGTGCAGATCTCATTTTTGCTTCACGTCGATCTCGGTGCCGGGGATCACCATTATGTAGAGAGCTGTTGGTTTCGAGGGCTGTTGGCTTCAGAAATCATTCCCTTTCTTCGACATATCTTCGTTTTTCTTTCCCGACGTTAGATGGAGGAATACACAACGCAAGATAGGCGGCATCAACATACCCGGGAGGTTGGACCCTTTTTTGGGATACACATGGAGTGTATTGATGGTCAAGGTGGAGAGAATAGGGGGTAGCTCGTCTGTATATAATGGCCAAAGATGTTGGAGGCAGGGCCATCGGATGGTTGCTAGACAGGGCGCATCTCTGTAGATAAAGAAGAGAAGAAGCACATCCATATTATGCCGGTTGATCACTAAGCCATCTATTTCCTGCATATTATACCCACCATTACCCAAAGCCTTGCTGCAAGTTCAAAATAGTTCGAGTATGGTGTGTGATTGATATCCACAAATGAGAAGATGCCGTCCCGCCCGGAGGCTGCAACCACCACCACGCGCCATTTTTGTTGGTTGTTCCCGCAGCCTTGTGGGATCAAACACTCATTCTTCCCAACGACATCATCGCAACTACCACCAACTAGATCTCCGAGAGTAAAATTGGATGCGCACACTTTAATAAGTCTGTATCATATCTCTTCTTGGCCATTAGTGACACATTGAAGCATGAGCGCTAACGCACATTCCAGGTTATTGTACTCATTAGGAGGAATTGCTTTCTCCCATCCAGGCCTCATTCCGCTCTCTCTGCGTTGTCTTGGTTGAAGAAATCTCACCCTCCCAAGGTCGGATCAGTCAACATGCATCATGGCTTGCATGCCTTCAGCGCCCATCATAGGCGGTCGATTGAGCAGCATCTGCCGGAGTAGCCTGCTGGGCATACGCTCACCACGTGGAGATGGAGCGCCTTGGTGCTTGAGAGTATATTGGCAAGCACGAGGCTCTGAATAACCGATGATGGGTGTGTGAGATAACAGCCGTGGCAGTTTCTCTGGAAGTCGTGAGGTTTGGCTGCCATTAAGCTACCTCCCGCGGGGACCGCATAGCTCTCTCCTTCACGGCTTCTCTCTTTCACGACATCATCGTAAAGGAGACAGAAAGATATACTGGCGATCATGGAGTTGGACAAGCTTGATCTGGAGAAAGGGTTGTCCATCCAGGAAGTCACGAGTAAGTACCAACAACTCTTTATCGGCCTGCATTCTCTACCAGACCGTAAGACTCTGAGGGCTGCCGTCTTTCTCCACGAAGTTTGGAAGAGTCCGCCATTCTAAGAGAATTCTTCCATATACTAACTCCTTAATCACTAGGCAGTGATGGTAGCCCCATCAGCAACACGGAAATCCTGAATAGCTCAGATTTTCCCTTCCCAGAGGCTGGAGGAGACGACAGCGGTGGTAAGTATACTCCCTGGTCTACCTTGCGCACGCACCTGCCTGGTTGCAGGCTGACTCAACCCAGAACAACCGTTCGTACGCACTCAGATTGCAGAAGAGAGACAAGGATGCTGAGAGTGGCTCTTTTTCCCTGCCTGCGAAGCACAATTCTCCTTCATTTTGGACCACTGGGCTGCCAAGTCCAAAGAGACCTTCCAAGAGGTGAAGGAGTTGGAGAAGGAGAACCGAGCACAGGGGCAGGATGACTATAAGAAGTGCCTGACGAAAAATGCTTTTGGTCGGAAGAAGCAGGAGCTTGTCGACAGGCTTACGATGGAGTGTAAGGAACTCGGTATGTCTTTTTATTTTGTAGTCTGGAGCAAACTGTCAGAAGAGACAGGGCTAACCCACGACGGTCTGTATAAAGGGACGGTTTTCACACTCGCCAACACCATCATGCATCAGCATTCGCCCAACCAGAACCTGACAGAGCAATACCATCTCTGTTGTTGGGACAGAGGACTGGACCCTGAAAACTCGGGCCGTGGATTGCTTCCTGAAGGCTACCGGTCTCTAGGCCCACGGCCCAGCGCCATCAACGACTTTGTAGTTTCCGCCGCGGAGACATTGAGCAAAGCAGGTTCTATCGTCAAGGTAATTCTGTTCTAGTTGACAAGTCTGGTCCCACAGATCTTGAGATGCTAACACTGGATGTTCTACCAACTCTTTTCTCCTCCGCCAACCAGAGCCAGAGACCCGAAAGTCGTTTACAATGAGCTATCCCACCCTCCGCATCCTATCACATCTCTTTATCGTCCTCATGGCAGTGATCTTCTTCGTTCTTCCTGTTATGATAATGTACCTAGTGCCCATGAAGAAAATTGACAGTATGATGGTTACCATAACCTTCAGTCTCTTATTCTGCGTTGGGTCGTTCTACTTTGGAGGTGGAAGCGGCGGGCTGCAGTCAGACCACAAGTTCCTGTTTCTCTTGAGTCTATCTTCAAAGACTTGTCAGATAGATTAGTACTAGGTGAAGGAATGATATTCTTTTCATATTTCAGCTAGGTAAACAATAGATCCTGTGAGTACCTACTTAGAAAGCTTGGATATAAGACTAAGAGTTGCGGTAAAAGTACGGGGGAGTTAGGATCTTTGGTAGATAAGAAAGCGGTTGAAATTCCCCCTTCATACTTGAGTTATTACACCATTTAAAATCCTATCCCAACTCTAGATAAAACAATCCAAGCCTTCACCACCCTAATTAGACCTAAGCCCTAATAACCTTCCATCTAAGCAATAGTTAGCCTTTATCTAGATATTTACCATATTTAATCCTAATACTTACTCTCCTCAATCTAAGCATCTACTATATTTAATCCAAGCATTAAGGGTCCTCAATCTAAACATTAACGGTCCTCAATCTAAACATTAACGGTCCTCAACCCAAGCATTGACGGTCCTCAATCCGAGCTTCATAGACTAGTATACCATGAACAAAAGTGGTATTAAAACTCGACTAACCATTCCCAAAAAACTCGTGTACCACAACACAAAGTTATAGAGGTGGGAGGTGCAACAACAAAACCCAAAGAAAAACGCCCAGAAGTGGAAGAAGAAACAAAAGAGAAGAGAAAGATATCGAAACTACAAAAGCATACTCAACAAAGAGGCTATATCAGCACGTGTAATCCTGTACACCCAGCCCCAACCCCAAGCCAGCCAACCAACCAATCCCTCCCTAGAGATATATCCCTATCCCATGTCCTTATTTCCCATTTTCTGCTCTTCGTTTCCCTGTTTACAATCCCAAGCAGAACAACACTTGAATAGATCCCCTCCGTTTCCCTCAACACACACACACTCACACACACAAGAACTCCAACACCCCCCAGCAAAAAGAAAAAAAACCCCCGCTTATGTCCCCCCCTAAGCAGCACTAGCACTCACACTCCCCTCCCTCTGCCTCCTAACAATATAATAAGTAATCAAACTCTTCGGATCCTCCCTAACCCCCTTAACCGCCTCCCAAAACCTCCCCTCCCCAACCCTCGCATGCATCACCACACAAAGCAACACCGCATCCATCCTCACCGCGCTCTCCACACTCTCCAGACACTTCGCCGCCAGCCCCGCCAGCACCTCCAGCTCCCCCTCACTAGGCACATACCCCTCCCCCCTCTGCTCCATCATCTCCTTCAGCACATGCAAGCCCATGCTCACAACCCTACTATCCCTCTCCGCGTCATCCACATTCAACCCCTGCATCATCCTCGCCAACACCATCACAATCTCCCCCGCATCCCCCAACATGACCAGCTCACCGGCCAGCAACTCCAACCCACTAACCATGTGCGTCCTCCCGTCGTAACACGACCTCGCCCTGAGCAAACTCTCCAATCCCCGTGAGACGTGAGGCTGAAACCTCGCTCTCATCTTCTTGAGCATAACCTTGATCGTGGCCAGCACTTGAGCCTTGACATCCTGCACCTTTTCCGGCGCAAGGTTCGGCAGAGGCGACTCGAGGTACTCAAACAGCCCAATCAGCAGGGCATCAAACTTCTCATCGGTGATCAAGCCCTTGTGGTTGTTGCTGTCCCTGATGATGGATTGCAACTTGCGGAACCCGTGCACGTCCAGAGCCTTGGCCTTGACCTTAGTAATTCCGCTCTCCAGCAACCGCGAGTTTTGCTTGAGTTTCTCGGGGGACATGACACTGCCCTTACTGATGTCGCCATTCTCGCCGGTGCTGACAATGACCGGGGCCGGGCGGAGCAGTGTAGCCGCGTCTTCGTTGACCGGCTTGTCCTCCAACACGGGTGCCTCAAAGGTGGGTTTTGGCGGAGATTGTTCCGCCGTGAAAGGGTCCTCATACACCTTTAGGGTAGTCGGGCTCGTGGTGGTGGAAACTGGCTCGACGATCTGAGGGGCGGGGCTAGGTGGTTTTGATGTGGGAAGAGGGAGCTCAATCTCTTCGTGATCATCGACAGACGGGACTGCAAACTCCTCTCTTGTCCGAGAGGGTGTATCCGACAAACTGGGAAGGGTTTCCACAGACTCTAGGGGGCTTGGCTCATAATGTCTATCATGGGGTGGTGTGTGTTTGGCCACGGATATCGTAGGTACACTCAAGTCCACTGTACTTGCTCTCGGGCTACTGAATAGGGGTTGACCAATCCTGGAAGGCGTATTGCGCAGCGATGCAAATTTGGGAGTTCCTGCTCTGGCGGGTGTTGGAAGATTCGACTCGGGCTGATTCGGACGGGTCGGCTTAGGGAGTGTCCGTTTCGGAGAGGATGATATGGATTTTGGGGTAATTACTGACTTTGGCCTTCGGGAATCCGGCGGGCTGGTTTGCTCGCTGGAGGCTTGGTCGTGACTTCGTACCGAGTAGGGTCCTGCAGTTGCTGGCCTAGGAGCAACCTCGGGTCTCTTACGCCCGGGTCTCATGGGTGCACCAGAAAGTCCACCAGTGGTTGACTCGGGTCGCGTGCGGATAGCCATTGGCTTGGGTGCTGTTGCTGCGGGAGCTTCAGAGGATCCTGTGGCCGTTCTGACCGGTGAGAAATGTGCCATGGCCGAACCAGGCCGTGTGGGGGGGTTCTTGGTGGAAGTCCCCGCCATAGCCTTCTTTTTGGCCATGATCGCGTCGCGAATGCTCGGTTTTGGTGCCTCCATTGTACTCTTAGACAAACCGAGTCCTGGTCGAGCTCCGCCTGCGACTGGCTGTCGCTTGACAGGGTTGGGATTGTTGGCGTCGTTTCTCAAGAGCTTTTGCGCTGTTGCGTCGAGCCCATCCATGATAACCTCTGCCCTCACAGGCCAGATGGCATTGAACTTCCAGAACGTCGCGCGAGCCTTCTCTCTTACTCCTGGGTTAGCATCCCCGAGACCCTTCTTGATGCACTTCTCAATGACCTCCAGGCCTCCCGTATGTTCCACATGATGCTTATGATGTGCTTCCTTGACCAAGATGGTCTGAAGCCACCCGCAAGCGTAGAGTCTTGGCTGGACGTTCTTGTCCTGAGTCGCAAACCAGATATGTTGCATTATTCTTGGTGTCGTTGTAACATTGGAGATGATGGCATCGACCGTCATGTTTGCTTGCTGACTGGCCAGTTTCTTGGTCGAGGCGGCAAGCTTGATGAACGTTTGCATGAGTATCTCCACCATAGGATCGATTCCTGGGCCAAACACCCTCGCCAAATCCTGAATAAGATTGCATCCATGGGTGCACAGGCTCGTTCTTAGCGAGGTAACGGCCTTGATCATCCCGTCCAAGAGTGCCCGAAGCCCATCAAGGAATCGTTCAGTGAAGTCTTGCGGAGCATTGCCAGCGACAAGTTTGCGAAGCTTAATCACGTTCTTTTCTCGCTCCATCCAATTCTGCTCTGTCTCCCTGCCCTCGAAATGGGCGTGCATGTCTCGTAGTATCTCGTCCAGCTCGCTCTTCGTGTTGACGTATGACGGTTCCACCGGGTCCGAGGTCTTGGAGCTATCGGGAGCTGGAGTAATCGGGCGGTCGATGGCATGGGAGGATGCGCTGGCTGAGAGGGCTGCACGAGAGGCTGGGCGAGAAGCAGGACGGGGGTGATGCTCGTCTATCGAATCTGCTTGTGAGGCTGACGCAGAACCGGTAGGGATGAGCTCTTTTACGATCGCTTGCTCGATAGCTGGTCGAATTTTGCAATTCTTCAACTGCCTCTTAAGGTCCGATTTGGCCGTATTGGGGGCGTTTCTGGTCAAGTCAGCTTATATCCTATACTTGATAGCTTCGGGGCATACCTGAACAATTCGATGACAGTGGTCTTGGCAGTGTCGCGAACAGTGGCATCCGCGTCCTCGAGCAAATCCATCAAAGATGGCACATAGCTCCTAAACGGCATGCTACTCTCCTGGTGCATCTGAAGGAGCCAGTGCAAGCTTGACTCCTTTGTCCTTGGGTTCTTCCCGGTCATGGCCAAGTTGCGTACTGCGCGCTCGACTTGTTCAGGCGCCACCTTGTATATCGTGACAAGAGCCTGTGTCGCGATATATCGAATCTTATCTTTATGATCGCCCAGTTTCTCAGCCAGCAGCGGCAATGTCCCTGTGCGCGCAACCTCCTTCGACAGGCCCTTGGGATCTTGCTTTCTCAGTCGGGTGAGGAGATGGTTGAAGGTGCCAAACCCAGCATTAACGAGAACGCCATGTTGAGAGCTGGACGCAGATCGGAGGGCGTCGAATAGTGGCGCGATACATGGCTCGGGGATGTAGTGCGACTTGATGCAGGACTTGGCTACGTTGATGTGTTGAATCTTGGTGTCGACAGGGGCGTCGGTGCGCAGGATATTGGTAAGGTCGATGACCTGCTGCTCAGAGATTGGTTCCGCCATATCCTCCAAAGCAGAGGATTTCAGGTGTGATTGCGATAAAATGGATGGAGGAGGTTGTCGAGGTTGCGGGACCGGGTCGAGGTGGTATGATTAAAGGTCGGTCGCTGTGGTAGGTTGCGGAAAGTGGCAGAAAGAAAACAAAACAAAAAATGAGCTGCTTATTAAGTTGCCGGCCCAGGGTTTTTATCAGCAAGCTTTCGCGACAGGATGTCGGCAGTCGCGCCCGTTATAGGGCTCCAAAGACGCGCAATCGCAGGGTCGAAAGAGTACACGCGGACCTCGACTTGAAGCTTCGTTGCCGTTCCTTGTGGTGGATTGCTAAGGTAAATTTGGCTCGACGTCGATGAGGAAGGGACACAGACCACAATTCTGTTTGCGGGATGTTCTCTGCAGCTTTTCGTCACCCCTTGCCCGCACCAAGTGGAGCACGGGCCATGCAAATGATTGCTGTCAGGGGTCTCGGCATCCTCAATTCCCCGCAATTCCCCACCCCCTGTTGCTATTTCCCCACCTCTTATCGATATGCCCCACCTTCTAGAACACCACGCTGTCGGTGTTGGTGCGCAATGTAAGCGGCACCTCCCTGCATACAGCTGGACCCGATATAAGCTTGAGCTGGGAATAGCTTCTACCAAATGCCATTGTTTATTTTCTCCCAAACATCATCCTTCCCTCGTTAAACCGCAATCATGACCTTCTACGAACAAACCCTAGCCCCCAGGCCTACCACCATCCTCGAACCCCCCATCTCCCGCCCATCCGACGCCCCATCAGCAACCCAATCTCCCATCCCAATCCACCCCCCTAGGGACACCACCCCCAATGACCCCAAAACAACCACCATTTCCTCCCCCAAACCCTTCCCCCTCCCCACCCTCCGCCTCGAAAACCGCAACCTAACCCACCCCGCCTCCGCCCTCCTCTTCACCTCCATCAACCCCGCCACCGTCCTCCCCGACTGCCTCCAAAACGTCCTCCGCCTCCTCTACCACACCCCCTCCTCCCACTCCTTCACCCCACCCCCAACCCGCTCCGTCACCCTCATATTCCGTGACATGGACGGCGTGGCCTACACAACCGGCACCGACCTCGACCACGACCACAAAGAAATCCACTTCAACCTCAACCACATCTCCAACGTAGCCTCCCGTCCCAACAGCCCAACCCGCGTCCGTGACGAGATCATCGGCGTCATCACCCACGAACTGGTCCACTGCTACCAGTGGGACGCAAAACACACTTGTCCAGGGGGGTTAATAGAAGGGATCGCTGACTGGGTGAGGCTGAATTGTGATTTGTCCCCGCCGCATTGGAAGAAGGAGGTTGATGGCGGTATTGCCCCCCCCCCCCCTCTCTTTTCCATTTCAACCCCCTCTCCCTTTTTACCCCCTAATCCAATCCCCAATCACCGCCCACCCTTACTAACATACCCAAAAAGCCTGGGACAGAGGCTACCAACATACAGCCTACTTCCTCCAATACCTCGAAGACATCTTCGGCAACAGCACCATCCGCCACCTCAACGACCACCTCCGCCACCACAAATACCACCAGGACTCCTTCTGGGAAGAGCAATTCGGGCTTGGGGTGGAAGAGTTATATGAGGGTTACGTCCAGCATCACAAGGAAGAGGAAAGGAAGGTTAAGAAGAAGCAAGACGACCTTTGACTGTAATCCCCCGCAGCATATCTATACTATACGAGTTACGAGACACGATGATACCTACAAAGATATCCTCTTTTTTTTTGGCAATATTCTGCTATATTTCTCAAAAAAGATAGCACGGGCCTATAGTCACCCCTAACAAGAACACCCAAGCCTGACCACCCATTTCCCTGTTATGAAAACCGTTCCTAACGCCCAAAACACCAAACATATATAATGTAAACCCAAAACAGGAAGAAATGGTCGGTGGTATCGCGGGTATACATCCATAGACCCGGTATAAACATCATCAAGCACATCAACCGCGCCTCCTCTAAGCCCGAGCAACGCTCTCAGTCTCGCTAATCACACTGCCAACCTCGGACCAGCTACCAGGAGTGGCGATCCCATCGTCACTATCGCTCATGATGCCATAGTCCCCATCCTTGGAGGAAGCAGCATCAAAGTTGACATCAACGCCAGATTCAGCGATAGAGGCAGTGTCATCGCTAGGCGTTCTCTGTCCTTGGCTGAGGTACTCCCCATCAGACATCGGTGGCTCAGGCGTAACAGGCAGAGGCGAGTAAAACCCAGTGTTAGACTGAGCCCACGCCTGAATCGAGGCATAGGCATCAGACTGGGTGCTGCTGTAGCTGGCAGACATGTCTTGCTCCTCCTCGCGGCCGATGGTCTCGCTGCGGGTGGTGGGAGTGTGAGTCCCATCCTCGGTCTTCCCATAGGCGTCGGGAAACTGATCACGGAGGCTGGTATCGTTGGATTGCGAGTCGAAATCAAAGAGAACTTCAGGGTTGGTAGCAGCAACAGCCTTTTGCGCGGGCTCAGGGCTCTGGCTGCGGGGAGTAGCGGCATAGATATCGGATACGGTTTCGTCATGATCGGGCTTCAACAAATTGGCGGCTTCCGTCTCGTCGATGTGAGGGCGCTCTTCCAATTCGATACCGTGCTCATCAGCAAAGGGGTTGTAAACCATTGCAGCATTCAGTCCGCACACGCCTTCGAGGTTGCCACGGCGTCTAACCACATTGTTTGAATCATCCGCTGGATTGGCGCCAGTGTTGTAAACCAAAGTACCGCGTTCACCAGAGTTGTCAGGCCGTAAGAAGTCATCAAAGGTAGGAAGGCGAGGAGTGGGCAATTCGGCCGATTGTGACTGTTGTTCGTTCCGGCGAGCGTTCCAATACATCAGTTCCTCTCGTTGTCTCCTCCGTGTTTCGTCGTCAGCATCAACATTGTGAGATTCGTAAAATCCGTGAGCGTCTTCTGGGCGGTTGAAACGGGGCTGCCGGTTGTCTGGGTCGAAGTCGTCACCGAGAGAGCGGAGGGCGATGGCGATGCGTCTACGTAGGTCCTCGGCTACGCGGCGGACCTCGGGGCTTTCATAGATAGCTACAGCTACGGCTGCAGCTACGCCGACTGCAGCTATGCTGACTGAAGCAAGCAAAGCGTGGTTAACAGGGGGCATGTTCGATGTCTGGTGTACGGATGATGGGGGATTGAAGAAATGCGATAAGCGGAGTGATAATGATAAGGTAGAGAGAGTGGGGCAAGATCAAGCGCTGGGAACTTCTCGACTTGGAAACCTTGAAGATATTCCTCGCTGCCTCCCTCTCACTGACAGTTGCTGAATGAGAAAGCAACAATACAAAACCCGAGAAAGATTCAACAGAGATCAAGTATCCCAACAATTAAAATGAGCTGCCTCGAGGCTTGCGTGTCGTCCATTCGCCACTTGTCACGGGAGTGGCCAGTGCTGACCTAAACCTCGGGCGACAAACAACGACGGTGATTTGCACTGAAGAATTGGCGGGGCAAACAAGGGTGCGGGGAACACAACGCAAAAGACAATGCTGTGGTTTTAGACAGGAGAAGGCTAGTAACAATAACTTACCTTTGGCCGCGATTGGCAGTGGCATCTTTGGAGAGAAACGGCTTCAATCTCCCAAACCTGCTGGCGACGGGTTTGTTTGGCGGGTAGAGGGTGATGGAAGAGGGAAAAAGGCAGTCAAAGGAAAGTGTCCCAGATAACTGGGAACTGGGGAGCGGCAAAGCAAGTTTGCGCATGCACGCTCGGTGAACGGTAACTCCCTCGCCCTGGAAAGCTTACGTAGAGTGCAGGCGGGCGGGTAAGGCGGACCGGAGGCGCACCTCCATGGCAGGGCAGTGGGAAACTCAGTTTGGTATTCCAGGCACGGGCTCGGGGGCTTCCCCTCACTTTAAACTCATTCAACCTTGGCGTTTATGAGCAGGTGATTCGGTGCTCCAGATGTTTGACACGCTGGACAACGATGAGCGGTCAATTCCTACAAGAACGGCATTCCCGGTCCAGCCACTTGTTCATGCAGCTGCATAGAATTGACGAATGACCGCCGATAGCATCAATGCTCAGTTTAGCAAATCAAGGAGTTTAGAGCCTCGTCACTGACTCAGAAACTCTCAGGAGTACTGGCCTGATTGCGTGTCAGCCTCGGATGTGGCGCAACTGGGCGTTAGTGTAGATGATTGGCTACACCACCACCACGTTGAAACGCATAATGTTGATATGGAGTTATGACAGCCCAAATAACTAGTGTATGAATTGCAGTTAAATCGTCGATTCTGGGAGTACGAAGTAAGTTTTGGCTATTCGAGGGATTCTCTTTGTCTTCAGATCTGAAAGAGAAGTCTCCACACATTCTCTCAGCCTTGTAAGTGGACATCTCAAGATAAGGTAGGAACTGGATAACTTAGCCCCTGCTTTTTACATAAAAACTAACCCCAGCTTCATTGACTTACAGTCCAAACATTAGATATTTGAAATCCCAGCCTTATATATCAATCGTCCTGACTCTACCTACATAGATGCCGTTCTAGTATAAGATGTCCCAGACCTAGCTTTGTGTGTTTGTTGTCTTAACTTGACTGGAAATTCTTTCTGATATAGGAAAGTGTTGTTAATTATCTCAGGTAGTCTTTTTTCCTAGCTTTACTTTATAAGGTCTTAGCTTTCTTAAGACTTAATTCCAACTTTGTGTATCTTAATCTCAGTCTAATCCCAACTTTCTATCTCTGAATCACAGCTTAATCTCCGCTTTATAGATATACCTATTATATATACCTATGTAAATAGTCTTAACTTTTTCGAAACTTAAGTAACATAAACTTTATTTATTCTTTTTCTTAGCTTAATATACCTCTATTCTCCTCTTTAGTACCCCAACCTCAAATCCAAGCTTTATATTCTATTATCCTAGCTTTTCCTAGACTCAGTCCCAACTTTGAATGTCTATAATCTTAGCTTTAAATAACTTCAGTCCAAGCTCAGTCCCGACTTTATATATCCATAATCTTAGCTTCATATAACTTCAGTCCCAGCTCTATCCCATCTTTATACAGAGGTACCTTAGTACATATAACCTTCAAATAGAATCAAGAGCGTCACTGAGCACAGGTATGCACAGGTCTGGACAGACTTGAATTGTGTTTGAGCTAGGTACGAGAGTACATCATACGTATATTTGAAGTTACCTAGCTAGCAGACCACCCCAGCTATCACCACATAACACGATGTTGAATCGTGAACTTGTCCACCTCAGATTGTAATCCCTATCCAAAATCCGTCAAGTTACTTGTAATGCTCGGTATGATGCGTGAATTCTCATCTCAGCAATGGCAGTGATCATCACAGCATTCGTACTTTCCGCATGTCCACGACGAAGAGCAGTGTTTGCACGCACTGTTGTGCTGGATGATTGGGGCCGAAAGAGGACCCAGCAACCCCTAGTGGTCATAATTTGAGAAGAACTAGGGGCTAGGACAATATGAATGTGATGTATGGATGAATGACTTACGAAAACTTCTCCAGCATACTGTTCGCAGTTGTCCTCTCAATGCTGCCCATCCAACGACCAGCTAACGAAGTTCTGAGCGTTGGACATGATGATGGGTACAAGTTCTTCAACTTACTTGTAAGTACAATTGGAGTTTCCAGAGTACTCAAGCCGGGGTGTACATACCAGTGAGTTTTGAGAGAGTTGTAGGGAACAGCTCAACCGTCTAGTTGGACTGTTGTTTTTGAAATTGATGCTTGGAATGATAGAGTTCAGGTCATCTCCATCGCGTCCGAAGGCCTCTATTTATGCTTGGTCCAGTGTTCTGCAAGATCGCCCTCAGGCATCCAGGTACGACATACTTCGGTTTCGGTTCTACACATCGTACACCTGGAGAAGGCACAGAACTACCTTTTGCAGGCACAGTCACTATTCTGGTTGCTTCACAACCAATGATTTGGTGTTCGACCGCTGCTCCTTGATCAGGTGGCCTGGTGCCAAGGGCTGTTGGCTGTATTCATCCATGATTATCGTCTTTTGCCTCGCTTGCAAAGATAAGAGTTCACGACAAGGCAACGGCGGTCATAGGCTGTCGATAGGGCGCACTGTGTGCAATTCACGGAAGCGCCTATCCATCCTTGTGTAAAGCCGCATCGAGGCGGGGTGCTTCAAGCTAATGCACAGAAACACATGTAAGGTAGTCATATATAGAGAGCCTTGTCACGGATCGACAGTGGCCGGTTCCCCGAAAGCTGAGCGTAACAAGCAATATCTCGTGTGCTCTGTTGTGGTGTCTGGTAATGTGTTTGCCATTATCTCAACCAATCATTGGGTGTATGTGATGTGAGGGGCTGCGCCATTCACTGAGGTCTCAACATGATATGACTAGGCAGCCTGACGCTTGTCACTGCCCCTTGTGGCTAGGTGGGCAGGTAATGTGAATTGATGTTTAAACTAGAACTGAGTACCATAAGAAGGGACCCTACCTGTTAAGGTAGGTAAGCATGAAGAAATAGCTTTCCAATAAGAATTTGCCATATCAGTGCAGCCTATGGTCTGACATCTGCTTACAAAGACACCAACAACATGCCCACATCCACCCAGCCTGCCGAGTTTCTGATGCTGCAAGAAGCCCTGCCGCTCCGCCAATCCATTACTTGAGAGTCCTCCAGATATAACCATAAACGAAATATGTAGCAATGTTATTCTGAAGGAGAAACTGGATGGCCCAGGTTCTCTTCCCTTCCTTGAATTGGCATTTCTTTATGCTCAGAATACATCATGCTAACTTATCTGGCGGTAGGACCAGTCGTGGTAAGCGATTGCATCCTGCAAACCTAGCAACCTGAAACGGTCTCCATTAGGGATGGATGTTGAGGAATGGCTGAAGGTGGCCATAAATCAAAGGTGGGGTTGGAGAAGATATGGTTCTTTGGCAAGCAATGGAGATAACCGGAAACAGATCAAACTTCAAGAAGAACCGAACCAGAAGCTTTGCGATGAATTGAGGCGAATAGCTATCTACCTATCTTGGAAAAGAGCCATGGCTATATACCTACTAAACAACATGCTGAACTACTAGGTAGTTAGAGCATGGTGCCGACTGAGCATCTATTAACCACAGACCAACTCTCATAGAAGAAGAATGACCTTTACTGATACTTCTCAAGGAATCGGAGCTCAGAGTAGGTACTATGCTACATCACTAGAGTCCGTTGTGGATCAACACTAGAAGCTCTAGAACAGGGGGATTTGGCGGGAGAGCGGGCTTGTGGAGAAGCGGTTCCTGGGACATCCCTTGGAGAATCTCAACAGGGGTCCTGCCAGGGCTGATGCCCAGAAATCAAACAAGCCTACAAACCACCAGACGACAAGCGACGAGCGCTATTGCTAAAGAGCGGGATTTGCTTCCTAGAAAAAGAGAAAGATCCCAAATATCTCATGCCATGAGGTGTTTTTTTGACGGCTAGGTATTTTATCCACCTTCCGAAAGATCTGAGGGTTTGGGACTGGTTTGCCCGCCCGGAAAACTGCTGCCATTCGGAAGCCCCAGTTAAACTGTTCGGGGGCTGACCATAGGGTAGGCCAACCGCGGGGTTGTGACCACTTGTCAAGAAGAGTTTGCTTGAATGCTTCCATCTCATGAATGTCTCTACTCCGTACTTCCATCTGAACACTATTACCTTCATCTGCTTAACACGACGTCAACAACCACCACGCAAACATATTGTCCACCGACGTATAGGCACCCGGAAATAAAGCCTCCGAAGCTCCAACTGTTTGAGCAATTGGCCCCTATCTGGTAACAGTTTCCTTGGACCAGAATACTGCCAAGTGCGGGGAATGAGGGGGGTAAGATTGCTCAGGTGAGTCACTCCTGCCTCGAATTGCCAAACAACAACTTAATCAGGGACAATCTATTAGCCAGGTTTATTTTCGCATACTCCCCTTCTCACCTTTTCACCAAAAGTACACTCATTCCCTTCTTCCGGACGAGTACTTCTTAATGCTGACAATCGTAACAATTGTAGCTGTTACCTAGTCGAACTCTTCCCCTCACCTTGACAAAGGTGCAACCACCGTTGGTTTTATTTCACCCCTTTTCTTCGATGCTAACGGTTTCAACAGTCACCCACAAACAGCATGGCTTCCGACGCTCGTAAACAGCCAAAATGAACCCCCCCCAAGCCCATGACGCTCGGCTGCCCCTATTGAAGATCTACAACAGCTTAACGCGGACCAAGAATGACTTCATTCCAGTTGATCCAACAGGGGAAGTCGTTACGTGGTACGCCTGCGGCCCTACAGTGTACGAAGACGCCCATCTGGGCCACGCCAAGAATTATGTGTCGACCGACATCATTCGCCGTATCATGAGGGACTATTTCGGCTTCCGAGTCAAGTTCGTCATGAATACCACCGATATCGACGACAAGATTATCCTCCAGGCTCGTCGTCAACACCTGCTCGCGCGATTCAAGCATCAGCATGCTGAGGAAGAGACAGTTAGTGAGACGGTTCTGGCTGAGGTGAAGGCCGCATTTCTCCAATATGTTGGCAAGAATCTGCCGTCGTTGCCGGGGGATATGAACCCAGAGAGCTTCGCCGAGGAAGTCAACAAGGCGTACAAGGAAACGCTACAAAGCCAGAGTGTTACTGTCGAGGATTTGCTGCTCAGGGCGCATATTGGGACAGCACAGTTGGCTGCCGAGGCCCTCCAAAACCCTGAAACAGCGTCTGAGTTCTTCGCCAAAGCTGACGATGTCCTGCTGCCATATCTGGATGCATTGCATGGTGCCTCTATCGACTCGAACAATCATCAGATTTACCTGGAGCTGAGCCAGAAATTCGAGCGCCGCTTCTTCGAAGACATGGATGCGCTGAACGTCCTGCCTCCAGATCAACTGACACGTGTGACCGAGTATGTCAGACAAATCGTCGACTTTGTAGAGAAGATTGTGGCGAATGGTTTCGGGTACGCTACCCCCGATGGTTCCGTCTACTTCGATATCGACTCGTTTGAGAAAGCTGGGCATAGCTACTCCCGGCTGGAACCATGGAACAAGAACGACCCTGCCCTTTTGGCTGATGGCGAGGGGTCGCTGTCCAAAGGAGCATCTATGAAGAGGAGCCCGAATCATTTTGCCCTGTGGAAGGCCAGCAAGCCAGGCGAACCAGCCTGGGATAGCCCGTGGGGTCGTGGGCGGCCTGGGTGGCACATTGAATGCTCTGCCATGGCGTCGGAAGCGATAGGGAAGACGATGGATATCCATTCCGGAGGGGTTGACCTTCGTTTCCCTCACCATGACAACGAGTTGGCACAGTCAGAGGCGTATTGGTCGACTCCGGACTGCCATGTGCAGTGGGCAAACTACTTCATTCATATGGGTCAACTGAGGCAAGTGATAGCACCAACGACTTCAGCGACACAGCGCAGCTAACTGAAAATAGGATCCGGGGCTTGAAGATGAGCAAGAGTCTTAAGAACTACACAACTATTCGAAGTGTGCTCTCCGAGAAAGACTGGACTGCTCGGTCTCTCCGAATCTGCTTCCTTTTGATGCCTTGGCAGGATGGTATTGAGGTGACGGATGAGCTCATGAAGGCGGTAATTGGGTGGGAGGGCAAGCTTAATAATTTCTTGTTGAAGAGCTTGGATCTGTCAAAACACACTCGCCCCAATGCCGAGGGTCAAGATATTGGGGTTGCTGACCAGCAGTTGCTGAAGTCTCTGGAGAAGGCGAAGGCCGACGTCGACAATGCGCTCTGCGATTCCTTCAACATCTCCTCTGTGATGAGAATCCTCTCTGATCTTGTCACCGAGGCGAACTCAGCCGAGAAGCTTGCCGACGAAACAGTCCTCTCCCTGGCGCGCTGGGTTACTCGCATTGTCACCATCTTCGGCCTGGATCCTGAAGGGGATCTCACCAATTCAGAACGTATAGGGTGGTCCGGACTCAATATTCCGGCGCCAGCAAAGCCTTACATATACCCTGCATCGCAATTGCGTGACAAGGTCCGAACCCTAGCAATCGGCTCGGCGGTCGATCATGATGCCATTTCCAAGCTCGCTGATGAGGCAACCCTCGCCACGCCTACCTCTATCGACACTTCAGAGCCTTACAGTCAGGTGCTGCAGGAATTCCGCAAAAGCGTTAAAGATTTGGCAGCTGAGAAAGCACCGGCCAAGGATTTGCTTGTCTTGTGTGACCAGCTTCGCGATGTGCACCTCTGGAACCTAGGGATATATCTGGAGGACCGCAATAGCCCTCTTCCTGCCTTGGTGAGGCCTCTCGATAAGTCTCTCATAGAGGCTCGCGCAGAGCAAGAGTCCCTTGCTATCGCCAAAGCCAAGGCCAAGCTGGAGCAGAAAGCAAAGGAGGCTGAGAAAGAGAGGGAGCTGCGGGGACGTGCCAAAATCGATCCTGTGGCAATGTTCAAGACGTCTGAGTATAAGGAATGGGATGATAGTGGCATTCCTACTTTGGATGCCAAGGGGGAGGTCATTTCTAAAAATAGGCGCAAGAAGTTGGTTAAGGAGTGGGAGAAGCAGAAAAAGTTGCACGATGATTGGCTGGCAACCCAATAACTGGCTTAGGTAAGGGCTGGCTCCTTTTTTTTCCTCCGATTTTTCCTCCGTCTTTCCCTCCTCCAGATATTACCACCCTACAAAGGTTGGAAGAGATGGGGGTTATGTACACATAGGATATCGTCGCAGAGGGGGGGGGCGGGTTTCAATAGAATAAGGGCTCCAGACAAATTGTTTAGGGTGTGTGTTGTACTGCTAAGAATTCCACCGAAGAGACCCATTTTAAAACATACCCTAAGATGCAAAGACCCAGTAACTCACGGATCCTCCTTACTCAGCCAGTTCCACATCACCTCCGTTTCTTCCATTCATAATATAGGAGTATAAGAAGTTTGGACTGGGGAAATAAAAGTTGGGACGAGAAGGGATAGAAGTTGGGATTGGAATATAGAAATGCTGGGATTAGAAGGGTAAGATGCTGGGATTGGAAGATGGTGATGCTGGATTAGAAAGGTAAGATGTTGGGATTGGAAAGGTGAGATGCTGAGATTGGAAAGGTGAGATGTAGAGATGGGGGGGTGAGAAGTGGGGACTATATGGGTGAGAAGTTGGGACGAGGCTGGGGTAAAAGTATTAGGGGTAATGTATACTCTTAGCGTGTACAATACACATACCCAATAGGCAGGGCGATGCCTCCTCTCCACTATTTGTTCTGACAATAATTGGGGCGAAACTCCAGAAAGTTGTGGTGAATGAAATAGCTATGGCTGGAGCTTTGCTTTACTTACCATAACTGAAAGCTGGTAAATGTGGGAGTTTTAGCGACCAAGAATTCTCTGGATGCTTATTGGCCTACTCCTTTGTTTGGAGTATTCACTCCTTTTTGGGAGATACGGGTGAAAGACCACGAGGACGACTTCGCTCCTGCCTTTTGTGGCAATGGCAACCACAGTCAAAGGTATCTTGTGCCATTGATCTTTTAAAACATAACTTTTGTTAGTAAGTCTTTGTGATAAGAAAAGAGAGCGTTCGACACCTCGTACTACAAGGTGGAAAGTATGGAGAAAATTTGTTAGGATACGGGCCTTCAAGGATAATTGATATGTCTTTGAGATAGTGAGCTAATAAAGGTAGGTAGGGTGCCTCCGAAGTTTTTCTTGCTTCCCCAAATCCAACTCAATAATATGATGTAAGGTACGGCAGGTACTTTGGGGCGCCCATGAATGTTCAGAGAAAACGACGAGTTAAGTTGTGAATATAGTAGAGAATGCTCCCCTGTAATACCTACGTGGGGCTATGAAACTACCACTGTACTGATGAACAGATTAAACATCTTTTCACAATTCTTCTAACTATATCTCGTGTGTCTTTCCACTTTCTTGAACAACATAGGTAATGGGCAAGCAATAAAAGTATACCCCCTTGAAATCCCACACTCGGATCGCCAAGGCGAAACCACCAAAACAAGCTTTCAAGCCAAGATCAAGCCCGGCTTGGCCATCCTTCGTTTCCTCACCCCTTGTACCGATCTTCGACGACATCGCATTCTAAAACTTGATATTGCTGGTGTCATTGTCAATTCCTATAAAACGGTCTTTAGCTTCCTCAGCGAGGCTCGGGACAGGCAAGGGTCTCACCTTTAATCAAGCGTTAGCTTTGAGGCTTATAAACCAGCAAATTCCCATTGGGCACTTGGGCAAGCGTATCGCTCAACGGTCTCCTGACCCCTCCTTAGTGTGAGCATGTTTTCAGTGGTACATAACTCCACTTCCGAGTATAGTGGCATAAGGAAGATGTCGGAATTTGAGTTTAAGGGTTTCCACTCCACTCGATCTAAACGCTCTAGCCCGCGCATAACGCTCCATGGGGATCCAACCTCTGTTAGACATCTCCACGGCAAAGGCGGCATAATTTCCAAGTGTTCATGCACCAAAGCAGGAAGGCAGGCATGTTGTAACTTTGATAATTTTTATTTTGTGTACATCCCTAGCCAAACTCGGATATTGTTCCTTCAAACTTAGCCAACTAATCAAATGATATTATTTAACGCCTTAAACACCTTTCCCAATCCCGCTTATGACAAACCAAAACCAATGTGCCCCCCCCCCCCCCCAAAAAAAAAAAAAAAAAAAAAAAAAAAAACAAAAAAAAACCCGCGATCTCTCGGAATCCCGAAAGTGGTGAAGACGGTGACGTCCCGAGCCAGTCGCTCGCGAAAAAGACAAGCTGAAAGAGCTCCACAATTGCGCGCGTTTCCAGCTTGTGCCGATGGGATCCACACCACAGCTCCACCCCCGATATATCCGTTCAATGGTAGAATTATCCCCGGATCCCGAATCCCGGGATCGTGGAGAAATATCGTGGGGGAAAGCCAGGAGGCGGGATTTTTGGACCCCCCAAAGCCCTGAACCCTATTCAGCTCATCCCGGGACTTGCAGCTGAGCGATATCGGCACCACCACCAACCACCATCAGCAACTCAGAGAGAACATCGTGAGTGTGTGAGGTAGGTAATCAGTGAGCAGAAGGGCTCGCTTGGTTGGAGTCAAGCGTTGTGATGGAGGAGGAGGAGTCGCCGCGGAGGGTCTTTCTTCTTTCGCTGCAAAGGAGAAATAACGGGTTAGTTGAGCGGTTTTGAGAGATGCGATGGATGAGAACAACAAACATACTGGGTATTCCGGTCGACAATGGTGCACTCCCACTTGGCACCAGCGGTGCGAATGTGGAACTTGACGCTACCGGTCTCGAGCAGGTTGCGGACCTTGGGGTCGTAGTGGGAGAGGTCAACCGTGCTGGAGGAAGCAGAGAGGTTGGGGGTGCTGGTGGTGGGTGAGGAAGACATCTTGATAGTGAGGAGATATGTGTGTGTAAGTGTGTGTAGAGCTGGCGCTTATATGGCAGTGGCTGAGAGTGAAGAAAGGTAGACGAAGGTCAGAGAAGTGAGGAGGCAGTCGAGATGAGTTTGGGAAGCTAGAGAAAAGGAAACGGGAGACGGGGCAGAGCGTAAATTATATAGACCAGGCACGAGGCACGAGGGGGAAGCCTCCAGAGCGCTGGACAAGGGGGTGGGCTGTCTGGCCCCTTCTCCTATCGGGTGTCACTAGCACGGGGCATCCATGGAAAGATACACACGGACTCGGGGACTCGGGTCTTCCAGTTCCTGGGGTCTCTCTGTGTGTGTATCGGAAAGTGGGTGTGGACTTGGTGGGTCAATAGGGGGAGCGCATACAGCCGAAGCCAAATCGCAGGAAGAGTTGCCCTAAGCATGAGCCATTTTGTTTAGCTTCAGGTACGTACCTATGTACCTTGATAGCGATCCGACACATCAAGCACGCTTGCATGCCTGGGTCTTCAGCCGGCTGAGTCCATGTTTTCTCTCGGTTGCAGCGAGAAGGTTGCAGAGATGTCTGTACTACTCAACCCTTCTTGCATTTCGTATTTCACAGATGGAGAATGGGGTTTGGTGTGGTGGCATCCCTATCTCGGCGCTTTTTCGAACCTGTAGCTAACTTGGGGTGGGATGCGAGGATGGAGAAGCGAACCACTGGACCCGCAGCTTAGGAACCCGGGCTCTCATGCAAGCACTTTGTTGCCGTGAAGCCGGGAGTCAGACATCATTATCCCAAGTTATGACATTGAGAATGGACATTAGCCAGTCGCGGTCAAGATTGACATGGTGCAGCTGGGTTCCCCAGCCCACACACCACACTTGACCCAGAAACCGGAAACCAGCCAGCCGTTTGCTGACCAGGCTGGGGTCAACGTGTGCGGGGGAGGAGAAATGGAGGTGGCATGTAGGGGGTAAATACCTAACACCTGTGTTGGTGTGTTGTGGTCGTAGGTGGTATCAACGGTAGGGTTACCGGCTTGGTATTGTAAGCCACGCCGCCATGATCTCCGTTCCCGTCTTGGCTGTAGAGCTTGAGTTCCAAAGTTCTCCAGCCAGCACGCAGGGCTCCAGAGTACGAATGGAAGCGCCAAGGTTCCTGTCTCGGGCGATCACATCGTTCTGGAAAGATGAGAGCTGATGAGCCGACCCCCGCAATTGCAGAACACCACACCGTGTTTGTGGCAGCAGGTTACGTGCGTGTAGTCATCTCATTTGTCCAGGCCTTGGCATGTGTCGAGGGCACATCGGAATATCATGCCCGAAAATGACAGAAAGAGAACTCTGAAGGCGACCTCGAAGCGGCTCTTGCAGAAGTGGCAATGGAAGGACGAGAGTGTGGCAGCAAGCTCTTGCGGCCGGTAAACCAGTTTGGAAGGAGATGTGGTGGAGGCGCTTACATCAAGATGATGAGATTGAGGATCTCCGGCCGCAACGCGGTGACATGTCGAAACACAGAACAGGCGTCATTCCATGTGAAAAAGAATGAGAAGAGTTCTTGGAGTGAGTCTCCGATCACAGATTGTGAGACGAATGCTGAACTGGATGTCGTGCAGGCCAGTGTCGTGATAACGACATTCTCACGGTGATTGAGGGTGTGTGGCCCTAGCTTGTCTTTCCCGGCGTCTTGGCTCGGCCGTTAGCCAATCACAAGCTGGGGCATTTCTCGGATTGGTAAGTGGCGGTGAAGTGGGGTATTTTACCACATCTGCCAAGCGAGCCAAGCCGGCTGCCAAGTCTCAAAGTCTGGCACTTGGACGACACCTCATTCCAGCGTCCTGATCGATAGATCTCAGCATCAGGACAATCGAGCATCACAAATACCGTCTCAATTCCAGACTCGGGAATAATGACGGATAATTTCACTCGCATACCCTCCTCTTTGTGGCGCGGGACTTCGACAGCCGGACTGGATTTTCTCGCCGTAGAAACACAGCAACTGCAGCTCCATTCGACTGCTCATTGGTTGTGTAAATGTTCTGTAAGCGCTCCCCTACCGAGTCATGAGGGAATTCCCAACCGTTTCCATGCTTTTTCTAGCCAATGCTTGGCTCGTCCTAATCTTGGGAGCCTCAGGCCTCCCGATTCACTGCATCACCCAGTACCTCCTATCATGCTCTCAAGTAATAAAGCCGAACACGCGAAGAGCACGGGCTCCCGAGGTCCGTTACCCACTATGGAATCCTGGCCTTCTTCTAGACGATTGATGAGGGAAAAAGTCTCGGGTGCCTGCTTCTGGCTATAGCTACGACCGAGACCATGGCAAGACAACCAACTAGGCTCGTGTCTTACGAGACCGCCTAGAGTTGGGCTCTCATGATTCGAGACAGTAGTTCTCTAGTTCTTGGGTTAAAATGGTGTTCAGGGTGCAGCAGCAACTACCACCAGGGATCCCTCGCCAACAACGGCGTGCCCTGGTCTCCACCATTGCGTACCGTTCCGTAATGGAGCGAGCTAAAGTGGCGAGCCGACAAATGGAGATATCCTCGTCCTTGAACCCCTAGGAGCAGAGACCGCGTGACGGAATCACTGGCTCAGGAGAACGGGTTGGGCTGCGCTGGCGCCTTGTTCACCTGTTCGTGGTCGCCTTGAGCTTGGGGCGCTTATCCGGTGCGCCGGAAACACTGGAGATTCCAAGATGTTTGTCGGTATATGACTGACCACTTTGTTGCCACGAAACTTGCTCGCGAATTGCTCACCCACCCCGACGAGCGGGTGGTTACCTTTCCGACATACAAACTGTTTCGGTTCCTTTCCACGTTGACTTTGCGAGCATCGGATCACATTTCAACTACGGCAGTCAACCCTAGGAGCGATGCTGCTAGTATCCGAGCATGCACTTCAACGGCTCGCCGCTCCAAATTCCTTCAAAAATTCGAAACGATCTTGATTCAAAGCACCATGGAATGGACCCCTTCCTTATTAGGAGACCTACAGGTAACATGCCTTGGCAACCGACACGAGCTTCCCATGAGACATACTGGAGATGCTGCTTAAGAGCCTCGTGCTCCTCACACCAAACAATGTCTAGACCATTCCAAGAGCCGCCAAGGCCTTGTTCAACATCAAACGTTACTTGAGATTAGGTGATTTTTCTGCACGAGGCGGATCGTACAACGCTGGCCAAGCCGGTGGTTCCGTATTGGAGTTCTTCTGAACAGCCAGTGGTCAGCTGGCTTCCCATCACAGCCGATGAATGTGAAGTCATCGCATTCGTACCTAGGTGGGCAGCATCTGGCACGTCGGTTCTGACAGCAAACGTGAACCACCAATCTGGTCTAGACCCTTGACACAAGCAAGCTGTCAATGACGACGCCCGTGCCACCTCCCAAGACGGAGGAAACCTACAACATAGGCTGACGAAGGTTCCCTAGAGTCCCCTGCCCAGCCGGGTGCTACATATGCGGTGCGACACGTTTGTCACATTATATGCCACCCTACTGCTTCCAGAGGAGTGTCAGTTGATTGTTGGTCTGGGTGTGGTTGTTCAACATGTGCTAGCAGAGGTCCTTCTGTTATCGTGAGTTTTTGTTACGTGAGTGGTTGGAAGTATCTGGGGAAACTTTGCATGAGTTTTGACCCATAGTAAAGGAGAGAGGGGGGGGTCGAAGCGCATATATGTCCAGCTTGGGAGACCTACATGCGTCCAAGCTTATGCATGGACCGGCTTGGGTCAGCCACGTTATGTGGTTCTTCCAACTTTGTATGGGATGCTGGCCAGCTTTGGAGGGGAGAATTTCCGAGTTGAGAATGACAAGCAGGAAGAACACCACCCCGGGAACAGGTCGGTAAAGACTTATACGGTTGGCTTTTGCCAAAACCCCACGTTTTGGCCCTACACAAGGTAATAGCTCGTGGGATATGGCTGTATGGAATAGGAAAAGATCAGCACACCTTCTTGTGGTTGATGGATTGACAGGTGGAGGTGAAGAACGCCAGACTCTATTAGGTACCTTATCCAAGATGGTGTAGAGAAAGTCAAACTCATCACATTAAAAGTTCCAGGCATGATAGCAATCGAAAGCAAAAGCAAAGATCTATCTGTATCTTGGTGTGCAAAACATAAGCAAACACTGATGGCAATGATCTGCTTCATCCCAACGTACCACCGAAACTTGCAGCACTCGGATTTTCACCTAAGCTGACAACAGTTCTCGTTTCGACGTATCCCGAGACTTTTGACAACCCTACCCTCAGGTGGGTAGTCAGCTTCTGTTTCTCAACAAAGAAGTTCTTGCCCGTAAGTGATTTTCTCATTTCCTTTCCAACCAGCTCAAATCAATTGTGACAAACGTCCATGTTTTTACACCCTTCATCTAGGAAAACCCAAACCTCAAAAGAACCACTACAAAGTGCCTTTTATACAACTCACAACTCTCACCCCCTTCTCCGCATTCCATCCTCTTCAAATAAGAAAGTTTTACAACATTGGAGGGTATTCATTATACCTGCGCACCACACCACCTTACCTACCTGATGGACAATTCTCCATCGACACCCACCTCACTTCATTTCACCCATCTAAACAACAATCCCTCACTTACACAACCCGTTCCATCATGGCACATTAAAACTCACATTCCCTTCTACTCCATCAGTTGGTCCTGTTGCCACGCTGTAGTCTCGTTGATACGGCAAGAAGAGAAGGTGGAGTAAGGGGATATGATATAGCGATGACGCTGCTCTCTCATCCATGTGCGCATCTCCCTCGGTAACCTTCAACCTAGTCAACCAACCAGAACTGACCTGATTTTCCCTCATAAGCCTATCTTATAGCAAGCTCTAGATTTGCTTACAGGCCCCGGTATTCACCTCATACCACATCAAGAAATGCCCATATAGCCTCACTTCAAAGGAAAGCACGCCGGAACCAAGAGTTGGGATCATTACAATCATCATCGTTATTTATCTCACAGCACCCCAAACAATTACTATCGAAAAGTCCGGTTACGCCGTACAAGTACAGTCTATAAACAAAGTTTGGTATCTCTTTTAAAGCTTCTCGATAATCGCATCCGTGAACTGCTTGGTGGAAGCCTTGCCACCAAGATCACCAGTAAGAGCCTTGCCCTCGGCAAGGGTGGCGAAAGCCGCCTTCTCGATGCGGTCGGCGTACTCGTTCAGGCTCATGTGTCTCAACATCATCATGGAGCTGAGGAGGAGAGCGGTGGGGTTGGCAAGACCCTTGCCGGCAATATCAGGGGCGGAACCGTGGACGGCCTCGAAGATGGAGCACTCGTCGCCAATGTTGCCGGAGGGGGTCAACCCGAGACCGCCAATGAGACCGGCGCACATGTCGGAGAGAATGTCACCGTACAGGTTGGGCATGACGAGGACCTTGTCGTTGTAGGGGATGGGGTCGGTAGTCATCTTGAGGCAGGTGTTGTCGAGGAGCTCGGCGTCGAACTCGATATCGGGGAACTCCTTGGCGATGTTGTGGGCGCACTGGAGGAAAAGACCGTCGGACATCTTCATGATGGTGGCCTTGTGGACGACACGGACCTTCTTGCGGCCGATGGAGCGGGCATGCTGAAAGGCGAACCGGAGGACGCGCTCGCTGGCCTCGCGGGTGATGAGCTTGATGCTCTGGACGACACCATCCACCACAACGTGCTCAATGCCGGAGTACTCGCCCTCGGTGTTCTCGCGGATCAGGACGGTGTCGACGTTATCGTAGGGGGTCTTGTATCCAGCAACCGAGCGGCAGGGACGGAGGTTGGCGAAGAGGTTGAAAGTGCGACGAAGGGTCAAGTTGAGAGAGACGTGGCCCTTGCCGATGGGGGTCTGCAAGCCCATGTTAGAATGCGCCAACTTACACGATAGAAGTGGGGGCGGGGCATACAGCAAGAGGACCCTTGAGGGCAATCTTGTTTCTCTTGATGCTCTCGATGGCATCGTCGGGGATAGCAGTCTTGCCATCCTTGAGGATGGGGTCGACGTTGATGGGCTCCCAGGAAATTGGCGTCTGTTCTTTTGTTTAGTCTTTGTGCTTTGTAGAGGTGGTATCGGATGAACGGAAGCTGTCGCGAAACGTACCTTGGCGGCGGCGAAGATGTCCTTGACGGCAACGGCAATCTCGGGGCCAATGCCATCACCTTCGATCAAACTGACTGTGTAGTTACCCTGGGATAGTCAGCCAGGCGTTTTGTTTTGTCGGCGAGGTGTCAAGGCTTGATTTTTGTTTGAGTGATTTTCAAGCCCCTCTTTGCGGCAAGCTGTCGCATGCGCCCCTCTGAGACCAACACATACCTTCACATCCTTCTTTCCCTCGTACTTGGCGACCTTCTCGGAGTATAGTCTCTGGTTCTGTTTCGAGGGACCGGTATTAGCTGTGTGATTGTGACAGTGAGCTGAGTACAAGTTGGGATTCTTTGTCGCACCTGCAGCGAAAGAGTGACGGCCGCGCGGGGAGCTGCGCGGAAGGCCTGGCGCTGCGCAGGGACAGCAATGGCACGGAGGGCGAACATGGTGACGGTCTGATATGAATTCGTGGTTGGGTAAATGCCCGTCTCAAACAAGCAACAGGGCAACAAATGGAAAGAAAGAGCGGCAGACCAAGAGGAAAATCGTCAAAGTTTAGGGAAGCAAGAATGGCAGAGAGTTTTAGGTGCCAGGTTCCTAGAAGAGCAGGAGGATAAAAACCGACCTCAATGCAACCAACTGAATCCACCAGCTGATGCAGGTTTTGGCAGCGACGCAACGGGCAGCGCCTGATGGCCTGTGCTTTGCAGGGACAGGGCCAGTGATAATGAGACCGAGCTGACGGAGCTTCGCTGCTGAATCTGTTCAATTACGTAGCCGATAGCGATAATTACTCACTCACCGCCCGAGGTCGCCTTCCATATCTTCCATATGGCCGGCAGAATCGACGCTTTTCTTCGGCCCTACACAGGCGGTGAACACTTGCCCTTCTTCACCCGATAACGCCGCCGGACCTTTTCGTTTCCGATGCTCGACCTCCACACGGCACGCGGGATGCCAAGCTCCAAGCTCCAATCCCTGCCACCCCGCCGAGACCCCTGTACGACGCCAACCGCAACGACTGCATTGACAGCCGCGGACGCATCACCAGAAACCGACGACATCGACACAATGGAGCACCGCCACGATGCATGACTGATGAATTACATGTCCCCTTATCAACGAGAGATTCTAGTATAATACCAGTCTCCGATAGAGCAGAAGTCATCGCGACATCGGCGCCATGGCTGACATCGAGCGAGAGCGGGCCGTTCTCGACTTCTACCAAATATCATCGCTGAAACCTGAAACGCTGGTCCAGTGGCCAACAGAGAAAGACCGCGACAGCGACGCCTCCGAAGATGAGAGTGTCAAGAAAAAGGCGAACAGGAGGAAGTCGAGATACCAGGCATTGGAAAGGGCTGTGAGCACCAGGAGTAGCTTCGTCCCTGGTTCTGAGACTTCAGGGAGTGGTGTTGCGAATTTGGTGCAGCGAGACGAGCCAGACCCCCTAGGGTCAACTGACAGTGTTGTTCGGACATTGAAACAGCTGGGGGTTCCTCTTCAAGATGACTTGAAGCTTCGTAAGTTTGTAGGATATCGTGTTTTTGATATACCAAGATACTTACTTGGACATGTTCTCAGGCAACCGATTCCTCCTCTCCTCGACGACCTTCTCCCCAGCGCTCTTCCTATCCCAAATGCACGCCACAGCCGATACCCAATCCCTCCTCAACGGTCTAGACATACTGTCTCGATCGATCGACCAAAAATCCGCCTCTTTGAAAGTGCTCGTCGAATCCAATTTTGAGCGCTTCGTCCGCGCCAAAGCCACCATCGACAATGTCTACAAAGAAATGAAATACCGCGGGGTTGATCCCACGCCGCCTCGGGCCAGGGCGCACTCTCGACATGCCAGCAGGAATAGTTTTCGGAGTGGCAGCGGTGCGCCCATGACGAGCCCCCTGAACCCTGCGACGGACCCTAGAAAGAAGAACGCTTTGGCGAAAGAAAGCGAGTACGGTATTTTGGGTATCAAAGCGCCATTGCTTGATGTATCGGCCAAGGCAGAGGAGGTTTGGGGGCCAGCTCTCGGTGGCCGGGAGAAGGAAGAGCATTTGAAAACTGTGGTCTCGTCGCTGGATAGCTACAAGGAGTATGTTGAGATCAGTGCAGCTATCGCTGACAGCATCAAGCGCAATGATCATGAATCATTGGTGGAGGAATACACAAAAGCGAGAAGATTTGCCGAACAAGCAAAGCAGCTTGCGCAGGAACTCGAGGGGTCGCAGCCAGATGAGGACCAGGTGTATCGTATCGTACTGGCAGCGCGCATGTGGCATGACGTGGAGGAACAAATCAGCAACCTCAAACGTGATATCTGGAGGAGCTTGGTATCTCCATACAACATGGCAAAGCCAGACTCTGGGAAGTCGGGTGACCAGCATATGGAACTGATCACCCTCCTCCTGGAGCTCGGTGTGGAAGACAACCCCATCTGGGTGTGGCTGCTCAGTCGTTACGACTACTTGAAGAGCAAGATTCAGTCGACGACGGAGCGGTCCAAGGTCGAGATTGAGATCCTGAGGCGCCGTCTTGCCAATTCTGAGAAGCCGAGCCCTCAGACGATTGCTTCTCATATGCGAACTCTTGGACGTCAATCCCTCGAATCAAAGACTAAAACCTTTGACTCCCCTGACATTGCCGAGTTGTGGGAGCTCAACGTGGCTTATATGAGCAACTTGCTCTCCTCTCAGGGGATTTTGGGAGAGGTTCTCGAGTTTTGGCAGACGGTTCAGGGGTTTATTGAGGGGAAGACGCAGAGGAGCTTGCCGGTTGGGTATAGAGGCGAGTCGAAGGAGCATCATCGGTTGTCTCAACAGGGCACGGTTGATCTCCAGAAGGGCGCTGTGGAACTGGTCAGTTTGATTCGGGAGAGTGTGTTGATGTTTTTTGCTGGGCCTCCGCCAGAGGATATCTCGTTGCTGTTCTCGCCTATGCCGCAGACGCCGAGCACGCCGGGGTATGGTGGGAATTTGACACCGCGAGACCCGAGGTTCAATCTTGATCCGAATAATATCCCGCCACCGTCGCCGAGGAGAGGGGAGGCTTGGGAGAAGTTTGCGTTTTGGCCGCCGTGGTCTAATTCGTTGAGTGGTGTTCACTACCTCGCTCGGATGTTGGTTCTTGTTGGTGCGGCGGCGTGCGATATGGCTTCTATTGAACCGGTCGGGCAGGGAGATGCAGCCGAAGTCGAGCGGGTTAAGACCCTGGTTGGCGTGGCAAGGGAACGATGCGTGACTGCGTTGTGCGCGGCGTGGAACAGGGACGCCGAAAACATCAAGTACGTGGAGGACTGGAACAGGTCCCCGGACAGAAAAGAGGTGACCAAGATGCCTGCCAGTTTCAAGGCGTTTGAGGGGGCGTTGTTGGCGGGTATGCAGAACATTCTCTACATCTCGGAAGCTATGGACAAACCGGGTGCTGGGGAGATTGTTCTGCCTCCGCCGCCGAAGCTGTTGCAGATGGTTAGAAGCCAGTATGTGACGACGCTGTACAAGGCGCTGAGCGGGATGGTGGAGAATGCGGAAAGGCCGGTGAAGAAGGCGGATGATGAGTGGACGGTGGATGTGGATGGGTATGTGCTCGTTAGCAGTGCTGCTGCGCCTAGGGCGTCGACGGCGGTGGGAGGGAGTACGATTGATGCTGGTGATCGGGTATGTTTATTTTTCCCCCTCTATATCCATGAAGTCACTGACCGCAGTAGAACGTCCGCATGCTATTAACCCTCTCCAACCTCTCGGCCCTCCGCACCGAAATCGTCCCCGACCTCAACACCCAGTTTGAAAACGCGTTTAGCGTCAAACTCACCGATGAGACAAAAACCATCCGTGACGTCCTCAGTCAAATCGATGCTCGGCTCTTCCAATCCTACACCCGCCCCGCCATTGAGACACTGAAACGCATCATCCGCGCCGGAGTGTCGGATCCAAACTGGGCGCCCTCCTCCCCGTCCCGGCCAAAAGAAGTCCGTCCTTATGTCTACGAGGCGCTCCTGTCTCTCGTCCTCGTCCACACTCAGGTATCGACCACAGCCGCGACATTGACCTCCCAGGTCCTGTCTTATCTGCTCGAACAAGCCTCGAAGGAACTGCTGGAAGCTTTCAAGTCGAGGCAGCGGTATAACCTTGAAGCACTGATGCAAGCAACATTGGATGTTGAGTTTGTGGCGCAGACGCTGAGCCATTACACTACTGACCGGGCAAGCGAGCTCCAGAGCCAGATTTATCAGGAGTTGGATGGGAGGACAGATAATGAGGCTAGGGCGAGGTTGCAGGGGGAGTTGCCGGAGATGAGGGCAGTTCTGAAGAGGTTGAGGGAGGCGAGTAAGAGCGAGTTTGCTTGTTTTAGGAAGCCTAAGAGGCCGGTAGGAAATGGGTTGGAGAGGAGGGAGACCGGGGGGAGTGTGGGGAGTTTGTGAGGAACGTTTTATGGATATTGAACTAAGGATCATTTCAGCAGAGCAGGTTAGGCATGTTAGTTGGGGATTTTCAGGGGGGGTTATGTTGGAAGAGAGAAGGAAAGTAGGTTATGGGAGTTAGTTTGGTGGTTAGATGTTTTGATAAGTCAGAGTGGTTTTGAAGAAGAATGTCTTTTGTGTGATCTTGGGCGTTGTTGTAAGTTGGGATATTGGAACGAGAAACTAGGAATGATACGCAAGAGAACCTGAGATAATAGACAAGCAAAGCCGGGACAAAGTTGGGATCGTATGCAGGAAAACCTCGGGTTATGCTTGGATAAATTCTTTCCATGTGTTTGGACTGTAAGGACAGACAGGCAAGTTCAGCTGTATCAAATAAGAGAGAGAGAGAAACCCTTTCCAAAGCGCCCTATCTATGTTTCCAGCACCCCCCCCCCCCCCCCCTCCGCCAATGATTTGTAGATCATATGCTTTTACTTTTAAATATGCTGCTCCTTTCAATATTGGTGAGATAAGTGGTCATCTTTACTTGGTCAAAGACATGTGTTAAAAGAGACGGAATAGTGACAAACATCTCTGGGAACGTGATCGCCAGATGAGTAAATATATATAGCGCCGTCCGTTAAAGCGATCCGTGGAAAAAAAAACGAAGTAAAAAAACAGCAAAGCAGCAAAGAAAAGGGCCTGCAAGTAGGCCTAAGATTGCAAATCCAATATAAATAACCAGGGCGTCTTGAAAGGTCATCTCGTCAGCAAATCTGGTTGCTTCTACATTAATGTGAAGATAAGAGTGTTCATCAGTGCCTGCGTATCTCATACCTCATGCTTTAACACATTGTGTACAAGAAAAAAACAGATATCTTCATTTTTATACTTGGGTATTTTTTGGTCTATTGAACCATCCGTATCAGCGCCGGAGAAAATCACCTCCTACTCCTTCCCACTTCCCTGCTGGATTTCGTCGACAACACCCCAAGTCATACAGTAACTCCATCATTATCTTTCATTTCCGCTTACTCCCTCCCAGCCTCCTGCAAAACTCCCCATTCATTGTAGTCGTACAGTACGCTTGGTACATGTTGTGTGGTGAAATATATATGTCGTGTGCTTTTTTTAGGGTTTTGCGCTTTTGGTGTTTTTGTGATTTGGTATCCGACAGCGTAAGAAATATAATGTCCGGTTTGTGTTGTTTGATTCCCCCCAACTGTCCAGGTGCAGGTATCCATTCGAGCTCATGTCAAAAAGCCCTCCCATCACTCCAACTCCCGCCTTTCGCTTCCAAGCAAGACAAAGCCAGATTAAATAGATCATCAACTGGGCAAACAAAAACAATGTTGGCCCGACATCTCTGAGAAATGAAAAAAAAAGCCATGTTGATGTTTAGTGCCTCCATCCAGCCCTCTAGTCTGAGGATGGTGGCAAGAGAAGCGTGGAGCAAAAGAGAAGCTCAAATGATCGGGGGTCCGTCGGCGAGAAGTTCGGTTGGTCTTGTTTGGCTTTTACTGTAGCAACTGTACGTCATGACATGTTAGTTTCCCATCCATTGAACCAGAGAGAGCAAAAAAGGTGCTTACAGTCCAAGTCAATGGCCTCAAAATAGGCCTGGATCAACGGGTTCGCATCATCAGTCACCAACTTCCCATCAGACTCCCGACGTGATGTGCGTGGAAGCGCTTTACGAATCCCTAGCAACATGTGCAACAGCTCGGCGATGACGGAGCCCTGCTGGGCGAAGCTGCCTGGGTCCTTCTCGAGCGGCCACTGGCCCCTTAGGTTCGGCTGTTCCCAAGCCCGGAAAGCCCAGATGGACTTTTCCACGCAATTGAGCAAGATCAAAACGGCAAAATACATGTTGTAGTCAATCTTGACTTTGCTGTCTTGCAGCACACGCTGCATGCCAGTCAACAGCGCTTTGCTAGTGGCCGCTGCTTTTCTCTCTGTGGCCGCGGCAAGCTGAAGACAGATTGTATGGAACAATTCGCCATCTGTCTCTTCCTTGATGATCCTGGGCTGAAGCTCGTTCTCCCCGTTCTTGACGGTGATGGTCCACTGTCGCTCGCGATCCAGTATTTCAACCAGACCCCACAACTCAAGGGACTTCTTGAGAAGCTCATCATTGGTTCTTGTCGCAACGTCGACGGCAGTCTGCAAAGTAATGCGCATAAACTGTGATGGCTCGCGCCGAATCATTTCTGGCAAGACCTCGCGCATGTACGTCTCCACTCGAGCAGGAACGTCTTGGTTGTCGTTGTCAAGCATGGCGATGTGGTAGCTGGAGGGATGGTCTTCTGCTATGCTTGCATCAAGCAGCTTCCCCTCCGCATCCCTCTCAGGCTCGCTCTGTAGAACGAGCAGCTGAAGTCGAGACTCGTAGTCCGGGAAATGACAAGCTTCAATGAAGATTCCATGGTGTTGAAGAGCCACAGTATGCTTGATCCCATTTACCCGGGCCTGGGCGAGGACTATTTGTACTCCGGCAGAGTACAGGTCCAACTGTTCTGAGAACTTGGTGCGCACGCACCCATTGCGCCACACGCGAGGTGATAGCACTTTGCGACAGGTATCACAGGGCGAACCCTGAGAGCACGTCTTTCGCAGCACGCGGCAACGAATGCAGGCTCCAATCTTGCGGACTTCCTGGACCTCCTTTCTCCTGTCAGGGTTGAACCGAGCGCGAGAATGTCGCGACTTGGCACCATTGGCGGTGTCGAGGCGGAACCCTCCCTTCGCGTGGGGCGCAGGAGGTTGAGGCAACGGGCTGTTCGGAGGCATCTGAAAAGAAGCCGCCGCGTAGTTGCCATCTACCCAAGCCGGCGCATCGCTCGTTACCGGAATCATAGGAGCATTGGGTATGGTAGTGACTGGAATTCCAGAACTCTGGATCAGGGACTCGGGAAGCGCAGGCGGTGTGGGCGTCGGCGGTGGTTGGTCCTCCAGCCCAGACTGCTCAGGGGTCGAGATATTGCTGTTCTCGGCTACGGCAGCAGCTACGGCAGCAGCAGCAGCCGCGGCCACAGCGGCTGTATTCGCTTGACTCGCAGCCTCTGTCACGGCCGCAACAGTCGCCTCATCGGCTAGAAGCTCGGGATCCAGGAATGCTGGGTGCAGGCGAGCAGTCGCAGCAGCAGCCATTGAAATGTTGGCAGAATCGGTATTGGCTTCATTTTCTGCGCGTAGTATTTCTTGGAGTCGCTCGTCGGTAATGAGGCCTCTGTCGCCGGCGTTCGGCGACGGCGGCTCAACTGAGAATGGCGGTCAGCAAAGCATCTCCCCAACATTTTGTTGCAAAACCCACCCTTCGGGTCTTTCTGCGCGCCAATGTCCTGATTCAACGGCGGATTGTCAAAATTGAATTGATCTTGCATATCAAAGCGTTCTCCAGGCTGTGCAGTCCCCAAATGGGTATTTGGGATTGCGCCCGTCATCTGGCCGCGATCGTCATTCTTCTCATTCAAGTCGATTTGTCTCGAGACCTCAGCCAGCACTCCAAGAGCAGTCCAGTCGCGCGACGTCATAGGAAGGTCGACCGAAGAGCCATCGGAGACCTGGGGGTGAGCATGAGCCTGCTGGCTCTGCTGGAATGTCTTGGATGCATGGCCCATCCCCGAGAGGGTGAGCAACGCGCTGACTCGATCGGCTTCGCTGATGGCAGGGCATTTCTTGGTGAGATGGCTCGTCAGGCTGTCAAGGCGACCGCGAGGGAAGTGTTCACCACATCTGCATTGATTCCACGAGAGAGAGTTAGCAATTGAACATTGGACGGCGAGGTCAGTGTGTCGCAATATAAAGGCGGTCGGGTCTGGCGGTGGCCGGTAGGCGGTGGGCTTACGATTTGCAGGTATGAGGGTAGCGATTGCTCTGGTCCTGCAACTTGGGTCCTCTTTCGAAGTATTGCAGAATCAGGGCATTAGGCCGTCTGCCCATTGTCGCGATCAAACGGCCGGCCGGGCGGTCTGTGGGGCGAAAGCTATATACGTGCGGTGACGGTTTACAGCGAGAGTCGGAGAGGGGTCTTTTGGTGATGTGAAAATACTGCCGGTTTAAAAAAGTTGGCGGTCAGAAGGTTTGGTCGTCCAGTCCTTGCCGTGTTGGGATGGGTGCTCAGCCCAGCCAGCCCAGTGGGTCTAGTGGGTCACGTGGCTGGCCCGACTGCCGGGTTCACCAGCCACACTCACTACGGTAATACAGCACGGATTGAAATGCTCCGGTAATACGAAGAAAAGTAGCACACCAAGACCAGATTATCCGTCTGGGACTTCTAGGAAGTATCAATTCCCAAGATGCCAAGTAAATATCCAAGAAAGTCTGTCATCACGAGCCTACCCCTCTAGGCATGAGGTCAACACACACCTGTTAATGAACTGCGGCATCCACACGGGTAAATATCGCTGTATGGTGTGTAACGAATTACCTGCATGCCGGTCATCAAAAAAGAATTCCCCTACCCCGGTTGGCATCCCGCCCGTCGGGTTCTTGGCAGGCGTCAGTTAACGATGACATGAAGCCTAGTTGCTGGGGTCCCATTGTGTGCTGGACTGTGCTGTGCTGCGCTGTTCTGGCATATGAAGCATGCGGACGCCTCGGGGCACACACGCAGGCGGCATCCTCAAAACCCCGATTGCTCAGCCTCCTCCTCCCATGGATCACCGTCCACATCCACAGCTATCTATTTGTGTTCCGTTCCTGAGAAGCCGACCGTCTCACCTTCCGGGCCCTCAGTGACCTCACCATGTGTGAACACCCCCTTTATAACAAGGGCACGCTAGAAAGGATAAGCTTTAATTAGCTAACTGAGCTCCATCTCCCACAACACCATCCCAGTATTGCAACCAGCCAAACCGGATCCAGAACATTTTCAGTGCCCTTCTCGAACAAATCTCGCCTCTTGCAACTACATTCCCTCAAGTCTCAGCACCAGTGTCGTCCTGCCAACTCAGCACATTGGCTCACTTGGCTCATGATCGGACCAATGTTCTCATGAAAATACTGTGTACCCGAAGACCAACACAATCTTTACCGAACCTTCCGTCTGTTTGATACGGCAACTTTCGCTACCTTGGGCCGATGATCTACGTCACATATTTCCTACCGATTTGACGCGCAGTCATAGTCACGGGCAAAACAAAACAACGATGCTTCTCCTCCACCAATCCGGCAGCGTCAAGATTGGCGAGGTGGTGCGCTACACAGTCACTTACACCCCCTCGGCAGATCGCATCCTCCCATCGCCAGAGTTCCTGTACTTGCGCATCAAGAATACTTGTGCCATTGCTCTTCGCGCAGCCTTCGTTCACGGTCCTTACACACTCTCGGTTGCCGCCTACCCATCCCATTTCGATCCGAACGAGAAGTTTGAAGAGCCTCGTCGCTATGGCGTCCCCGAGTTCGAACCAATGCTCAAGGCCGGCGCGGCCTGGAACTGCCACTTGGTAGTGCCCGACAATATCAGACAGTCTGCCGGTGAAGGATGCAGTCAACATGGATACCTTGGGAAAGGTCCAGAGTACGACGGGGAGAGTGTATCTTGGATCATCGAGGTTGCGTCGCAAGTGGTTTTTTCGACTTCGGCGGCTGTGCACTACGAAGTTCTGTTGGCACGAGACGAGAAATCGTTGAACCTGGGCTCTGTTGTACCTGTAATAGGAGGTCAGTCACAAGCACCACAGCCAGGGCGGGTCAGCGACTTCCAACAGAGTGCGGGTGCTATCAAGGACCATCCGGCGCAACAAAAAGGTGTTTTCTCCAGGGCAGTCCACCTGAAAGTTGAGGATACAGCAAGTTTGTGGAACACGCCCCAGCTTCCAGGATGGGACGACATAGGTTGGCTACGGGCAAGGAGCGAAGGAGGAGCTGATGCCCCAGTAGAGCCTGTGATGGCCAGTGGCAAGCCCGAAGACAGGCGCCCCAGACGGTCATTCAAACAGAGAAAGGTCCATCTCGTGATTCTCACACACGGCCTGCACAGCAATCTGGGCGCCGATATGTTGTTTTTGAAGGAAAGCATAGATGCTGGAGTCAAAAAGGCCAAAGCGGATGCCAAAGCCCGAAAAGCCCGAGAGCGGGCAGCCAAGAAGAAAGAAGCAACGCCTGCCGGGGCAGACACTGAAGGAAAAGCTAATACCGAAATCCCCGAGTCAGTGGGCGAGGAAAATAAGGATGAAGATGAGGAGGACGAGGACGACGAGGAAGTCGTAGTACGCGGATATTCTGGGAATGCAACAAGGACAGAAAGAGGTATCAAATACTTGGGCAAACGGTTGGCAAGACATATTTTGTCCATGACTTATCCAGACCAGCCCTGTCTCCCAACCGCGAAAGCAGCTTCGGAAGCAATCGCTGCCACACTCAAGGCAAGCTCTCAGAAAAAGAATGGCGGCGAAGAGGCCCACAAACACAGTACAATCCACCATGCTCCATCTCCGAGCAATCGACTCTACAAGTTCACCAAGATCAGTTTTATCGGCCATTCACTTGGTGGTCTTGTACAAACCTACGCTGTTGCTTATATTCAGAAACATTCACCGCAGTTCTTTGACCTGATCGAACCTATCAATTTTATCGCCATGGCCACACCCTTCCTCGGGCTGAATCACGAGAATCCCCTGTACGTCAAATTCGCTTTGGATTTTGGTCTTGTTGGAAGGACAGGCCAAGACTTGGGTCTCACTTGGAGAGCTCCAACGATTGCGAGAAATGGTTGGGGTGCACTCGTGGGCAATCTTGGGGAACAAGCACACAAACGGGTGTATGGCGAACATCAGCCGGAGTCCAAACCTCTGCTCCGTATCCTGCCCACCGGACCAGCACACAAAGCATTGAAAAAATTCCGAAACCGAACCGTCTACTCAAACGTGGTAAATGACGGAATTGTACCGCTTAGAACTAGCTGCCTCTTGTTTCTCGATTGGCAGGGCCTGGGACGGGTGGAAAAGGCACGAAGAGAAGTCGGCTTGGTCGAAGCTGTTGTACAAGCCGGGTGGGCAGAATTAACAGGCGCAAATGTCACCACTCCACGACTTGCACCATGGTCACCAGAAAACAACGAAAAAGAAGAGGCCAACGAGACGGGCAAAACCACACCTACAGACACAGAGGAGCTTCTTGAAGTGCCTCAGCCACCGACTAATGCCATGTTGGAGGATGATCGACAGAGTCTGAGATCTGCTGTCGTCAGCCCTTTTCAAGAACAACCGGCTTCTGCAGACTTGCAACAGCTGTCAAATTCGACGACAAACACTTCCAACCCCTTATCTGGCCTGTTCAACTTCTTCCGGACCGAAAGCCCCAAGCCCCAACCGCCCCCCTCCCCGAAGATAAATAAGATTTATCAACGAAGTCAGACTCTCAAGGTTGAGAGCGGCTCTACCTCTCTGTCGGTTACCTCTTCGTCCACGTCTAAAGTGACAAGTGGGACTGAGCTTGGAGATGATGCGGAGGGCCTGACAGCACCACCAAGAACATCAATTTTTGAGTCGGCCGGTGACTTGCTTAACCCAAAATTACCAACCGTTGAGTATCTCATCGATCCATCAAAGCGGCACCGAACCATCTTCCATGACAGAATCTACCACCCATCCGATATCCCTCCACCGCCAGTCAAGGACCGGACGTCGACTCTCCAGATCCGCCGTCGCTCTCTCTCTCGGTCCAGTAGGACGGCCCTGAGCGAGAGCAACTCCCCTCTCGGATCTCCAGGCATTCAGCACAAGGACACTGGCCTTTCTCAGCAGTCGGAACAGTCCACCAAATCGATGCCAGTAGACTATGAATCTACCGTCAACTCTGCACCCAGCTCGTCCCACGACGAACCAGAAGTGGTCGACTCCTCACAGATGCGAGTTGAAGAAAAGATTGCGCGCGCCTACCATCGCGGTCTGTCCTGGCGAAAGGTTTTGGTGAAACTAGAACCTGACGCGCACAACAACATTGTGGTTCGCCGCATGTTCGCCAACGCTTTCGGCTGGCCGGTCATCCACCATCTCGTACAGTCTCACTTTAGTGACGAAGCTATGGCAAGAGTAAGGGACGAGGACGAGCCAGGTGTGGAAAGAGCCAAAGGGCTAGACCAAAGCGCGGATGAAACAGGCCGGGAAACGAAGGAAACGATTCGTGGTGGTGACCATCGGGGTAGAAACGTCACGGTGCGCGAAGGGGATTCATCTCACGATGACGACATCATCAACGCGGAACGGTACGATGTCGTTCCTGAACTTGCGCCGAGTCCGAGGTCGCCAAGGTCGTTGAGTAGACAGGGGAGCACCAATGCTTTGGGTGTCTTTTCCAGCACGAACCCGACAACCCCAACAACGGCGACGCGACCCCCGATCGATCGATACGACTCCATGTCCTGGAGCGATAGAGACTGGGCAGACAGCGCAGACGAAAGTGATGAGAATGGTGGGGGGGCGAGCTACTGGAGCAGGATGGCTGCTGGGGCAAATGTGAAGAAACCCCAGCCTAGCCCTTCTCACACTCACCCTTTCCCATCCTCCTCTGCTGCCACGACCCCTACCCCGGCGGATCCAAACCCGGGTGGTGGTGGTAATGCTGACAAGAAAGGGAGAACAGTTGCTGTTGCTGCAGGAGGGAGTGTAGAACAGCCGGGACCGTTGACGCCGACGGGGTTTATGATGAGGAGTGTAAGTCCGTTGAGCTGGAATTGGACCGAGAAGATTGTGGGGAGGGGGAAGACGGGGAAGAGGACGAGTAGGAGTTTAAGTCCCGGACGGGGGAATAGTGTGTTGACGACGCCGACGGCTAGTACGCCGGGACTGGGGTTGTTGAGTAGACCTAGTTTGGCGTTGAGTCAGGAGGGGTATTTCCCTGGGCAGGATAGAGGGATGGTGGGGGAGGGGGAGGGGGAGAAGGGGGGGAAGGATAAGGATGTTTGAGGAAGCCCGTAGGAGAGAGGTGGGTTGTATGGCTTGGCAGAGCAGAGCGGTTGTTTGGGAGCCCGGGAGAAGTAGTTTTGGTTTAATAGGCATTATTCTTGAGGCATTGAATAGCATAGGGGATGCCTGAACAGATGTTTTTGCTACATACTTGTGGTGACTTGAGTTCTTGTTGGATTTTGAATGTTCTACGGTTCGGCTTTGGAGTCTTCATCCTTGGCTTTTTACTGGCCTGATTCCAACAACGCATTTCTCAGGTCTGTTGATTCGAGTGATTAGTCACCCGGTCATAAAGCAGCTTCTTTGTTCACCAATCTGGTAGTTGCCGCCCAGGTGTTCGCTTCAGGATTTGAAGAGCCTTTCTCCCTACACAAATGCAAAGATCACCTGATCAACTCACCAAATCACCATAATAGGGCGTGTGGCTCAGTTGGTAGAGCGTTCGCTTAGCATACTCACCTGTATGCGAAAGGTCCTGGGTTCGATTCCCAGCTCGTCCACATCCTTTTGCTGCTTCCCCCCTCTCTTTCACTTGAGGGGGTGGGGCAGGACTTCTTTTTGGCTGATCTGGCAAACCTGGACTTGGGACATGGTGATCATTGCTTGTTTCCTGTTCTTGGGGAGATTTGGTTGTGTGAAACAGTCATCATCATCATCAACCGGGAGTCCGAATAAGAACCGAGTCGTCCGGTTCGGCGACTTTTTGGGTTGGTTGGTCTTTGCGGGAAGCTGGGATGGCCAGTGTTGGGAGCCGGTCACGCAATCCCGAGTGCGGTAGCGAGGTGGTGGGGTTTTTTTGATGTTTTTGTTAGTTTGAGGTTCCAGAGACTGGGAGATGAACGAGGTGTGGGGTTTTTGGGTTCTGGTTCCTGAGGCTAGTAGGTGGTTGAGGTGACTGTCAAGATGTCAAGCCGGACAGAGGTGAAAAAAACGGGCTGACGGGTAAGACCCCGGGTAGGCGGGAAGGGCAAGGGGAAGGGGTGGGGGGTTGTAACCAGGTTTCTCATGTGCTGTGTGTGATTCTGTGATTGATGGGACCTCGTCTGACACCTTGCCTAGCCTTAATTTATGTATGTAGGTATGTATGTATGTATGTATGTATGAAGAGCTGTCGTGGAGGTTCTTCCAGGTTGGGACGGCTGCAGCCGAGTTGACCGCTACTTGCATACCTCTTCTCACCACCCATCGACAGTCAGGGTGCGCCTGGCACTGTGTCGATTGTTTGAAGGTGGGATGAGGGAATGTGTTGTCGACTGCATGACTGAACAGCACCGCCTTGTTGTTGTTTAGCCACGATGGCAGGATATACCCCGGGGAGGTCCCCATGGTATGGACCATTCAAGAAACTCCCAGATGTGCTGGCTAGTTGACAATTACTGTTTTTCGCTTCAGGTTTCTGTTCTTGAAAGTGTCGACAAGAGAGCCATTCGAGAGTGCGGGGTCCACCGGGCGCTGGCACGAAGTTCGGGGTCCTCTCACAGAAAAGAGGATGGGCCCGATTTACGAACGTGGGGAGAGCAGCGTCATCCAATGACAATTACTCCGGGTACGGCGAGCTTCGAGCACCTGCATCCACCTTGGAAGGTCATCGATCCGCGCACTGTGTGCTAAAGCGCCGGTGCACTCCCGCTCCCGGTCCCAGTGGTGGCCTTCCGTCTGGCTTTCTGCTTCCCTCTTCCCACCTCCCACCCAGGCTTCGGGTGGTGCTTTCATCACGCCTTTTTCCTTTTTTTTTCTGGGTTTTTGTCTCCAGTTTTTTCCTGTTTCTCCTATCATTGATTCAGTCACCGTTCTCCTCGGTCTAGGAAGTTCGAGAAACGTACCTCACACGGTGCGCTGTTGTTGTATAAGCTGGAACCACGAAGGGCCCAGGCTCCCTTTGCCCCTCGGAAGGACTGAGTTTATATCTGAAAGATTGATTCACCACGAGTATGCCATCCCGACTTTCCCTCTCTCTTTCTCTTCCCCTTTCTATTGTCTTGCAATTGTTCTGCCCGGCCTGAGCTGTACTTATCCCTGAGATACCCATGTTCAGCCTTTGTTCTCCTCCTGCCCGCTCTTGTACCCCCTCCATTATTTTCATTACCACTGTTTACGGTTCTATACGAACTCAATTACTTCTAATACTTCTGTCACTGCTCCAACAAGCTCGAATCTCGAAGCTAACCAGACCGGGCTCTTCCGTTCCTCCGATAGCTCTGGACATCCATCCCCATCGCCTTATCAACAGACAGACACTTAGGTTGCTCTCTTCCTCAATACCGCTACCATGCATATCCGCGAGATGCTCGCCGATGCCGAAAGGACCGGCGCACCGTCCTTCTCGTTCGAGTACTTCCCGCCCAAGACGACACAGGGTGTCCAGAACCTCTACGACCGCATGGAACGCATGAACAACTTTGGGCCAAAATTCATCGACATCACATGGGGTGCTGGCGGCCGGATTGCCGAACTGACGTGCGAGATGGTGGTACAGGCGCAGACATATCTGGGGCTCGAGACATGCATGCATCTTACCTGCACCGACATGGGCGAGGAGAAGGTCAACGATGCCTTGCGAAAGGCTTACAAGGCTGGGTGCACCAACATTCTGGCTCTGAGAGGTGATCCACCTCGCGAGAAGGAGAAGTGGGAGGCTGCCGAAGGTGGTTTCCGCTACGCACGCGATCTTGTCCAGCACATCCGGAAATCCTACCACGAGCACTTTGACATTGGCGTTGCCGGCTATCCCGAGGGTTGTGACGACAACAAGGACGAGGATCTACTGTTGGATCACTTGAAGGAGAAGGTCGACGCCGGTGCCACATTTATCGTGACTCAGATGTTCTACGATGCCGACAACTTTGTTCGCTGGGTCGGCAAGGTCAGAGCTCGGGGCATCAACGTCCCAATCATTCCCGGCATCATGCCCATTGCCACCTACGCCAGCTTCCTTCGCCGCGCCAATCACATGAACTGCAAGATCCCCGACGAGTGGATGCAGAGACTCGAGCCGGTCAAGAACGACGATGTGGCGGTCAGAGATATCGGGAAGACGCTCGTTGCTGAGCTGTGTCGCAAGATTCTTGCGGCCGGAATTCACCACTTGCACTTTTACACCATGAACTTGGCACAGGCCACCCGCATGGTGTTGGAGGAGCTCGACTGGATGCCATCCCCGGATCGCCCGGTCAAGCAGGCACTCCCCTGGAAGAGGTCTCTTGGCTTGGGTCGCCAGGTCGAGGATGTCCGGCCCATTTTCTGGCGCAATCGCAACAAATCTTACGTTGCTCGCACGCAAGACTGGGACGAGTTCCCCAACGGTCGCTGGGGTGACTCTAGGTCGCCGGCCTTCGGTGAACTGGACGCATATGGTATTGGTCTGACGGGCACCAACGAGCAAAACCGCCAGAAGTGGGGCGAGCCAACTTGCATCCGCGACATCGCCAACCTCTTTGTCCGCTACCTGAAGAAGGAGATTGAGTATCTCCCATGGAGTGAGGCACCAGTCGCCGAAGAGGCCGATTTGATCAAGGACTACCTTCTTGACCTCAACAAGCGGGGTCTGATCACGGTAAATTCTCAGCCGGCTGTCAACGGTGTCAAGTCTACCCATCCAGTACACGGATGGGGTCCATCCAAGGGTTATGTCTACCAGAAGGCCTACCTCGAATTGCTCGTTTCCCCAGAAGTCTACCCAGAGATCAAGAAGCGCATTGAAAACCACCCCGATTTGACGTACCACGCGGTGACCAAGTCTGGCATGCTTGAGACCAATGCTCCATCCGACGCGCCCAACGCCGTAACGTGGGGTGTTTTCCCCGGAAAGGAAATTGTTCAGCCTACTATCGTTGAGCGAATTAGTTTCCTCGCCTGGAAGGACGAAGCGTTCCAGTTGGGATCTGACTGGGCTCGCTGCTATGAGGCTGACACCCCAAGCCGTCTGTTGCTCGAGGACATCATGAAGTCGTGGTACTTGGTGAATATCGGTAAGCTATCTTCTATTTCTTTTTTTGTTGATTTGGTGATACTAACAGTCCTGCACAGTCAACAACGATTTCCACCAAGGAGAGACGCTTTATGAGGTTCTGAACGATCTCCAGGAGCCCAACTTGGACAAGGTCCCGCAACCACCAGCCACCAATGGCGAAGCTGCCAACGGCGTTGAGGCCTCAACATAATGCCTCTTGAAAGGACACGACTCTGAAGTTGAACTTTTAAGGGTCGTGTTTTCTTTTTTCAACACATTTGCATGGTCAAATCTAATTTCAACACAGCGTTGCCAATCATGGCAGCAAAGCCCCTTAATCTTCTCCCATCTTCTGCTTCTGTCGGGGACAAGAGGGAAGACGAGGAGAAAGGAATGCGCATGAAAAATGGTTTAATGAATGAATTTCAACAAGACTCACAGCATTATACAAGAACAGCATTTATCTGGGGCGTTATTTTCAACAATTGATCGTGCATTTTTCTTTTGGACTGTTCGGATTGGGAGTGTGGGAGGGTTGGGGGGGCCGGCGAACAAAACAAACATCACCATCGGGGTTGGGGACTTGATTTTTCAACAAAAATTGGGGCATTCAACTGGCATGGGTGGGATGGTGAGGGAAAAGGAAACAAAGGAAAACTCAAATGGGGGGTTTTTCATGCATTCATGGAGAGATATCTCAACGATACCCAAGAGGAGGAGGACGAGGAGGTAGAGGACAGAGAGAAGGTCACAGGAATTGGAATTCAATTGATGTGCAACAATGCAACAAATAGATATGAAAACTATCCAGTTATATATTTTCGGTCCAAGCTTTACTTTCCTATTTTCAAACTTCAGGCATCGTTGACCCAGGCTTACAATCTCTCTATAACAGAACGAATAGACGAGAAGGTATGTAGGGATGTCTCAGCCCTTTATCCAGCAAGGGCACATACCATTCTTCCCTGTCTTCTTGACCAAGCGTCATCCCTTCTTGAGCCCCTTTTCCACTAAATCTATCTCGACGTTGTAATTCATCCTCCATCCTTGACCCTTCCCTCACCCTAGACGTGATCTCGCTCCCCAGTATGTCTTTTCACTCGTGCCTCGTGTCGCTGTCAGCGGTGACCGGGCTCCAGGGCAGATCCGATGCAAAGCAACGAGCCAAGGCATCCTTTGGGAGCTCCTTCTTCTCCTTCTTGCGATCCTTCTGGGCAGACTTTTTGGTGCTGTCCTGGCCGGAAGAGAAAAGGCTGCCAGTGGAAGTTCTTAGATGGCTTGAAAAGAGCATGCAAAGTGTAAGGGGAGGAAGAGAGCTGACCTTGTTACTTGGGACGCGGACTTTTCGAAAGAGGCAGCATTCTGTCCAATTATCAGTGTACACACTGCGACAAGCGATTCACCACAAACTCGAACTGTCAGAGACATATCCAAGGCACCGCACTGTGTAAAGCAGCTGGCGCGCAGGTCAGAAACCTTGACAAGAATCGTGATTAGCCATCTGACATAGGAATCATGACGTTGAGAGCTAATCACGCTTTCTAACATTGCGGGGCTGGCAGCCCCGCAGTGTGATGGATTCGTAAGTTCGGAAATCATCCCTAGAGCTCGACATGCATCACCACTAACAGAGCATCCTTGACCTGCAATCCTCTCCAACGTCCTCTCCAAGGGTCTCGTCGCGGAGAGGATGCCTCTAGGTTTTCTTGGTTTGGGTGTTGGACGAGGAGGAAGGGTTTTGCAGATGCCTCGGTGGAGGGCTGGTGTATGTCTGGATCTGGGGGCGTGTCTGACTGATTATTGTATTGAGTGAGGCCTCTTGTGGATGGCCACACTTTTATTCAACTTAATTGTGGCTACAAGCTTGACTGTTGTGCGAGGCGGCGATGAGCCAACCCAGCCCACATGGAGACAACCTACGGAAGAGATGAATCCAACACAATCGGTACATGGGACAGCTAGGAAGGATTAGCCTTCACTACTATGTTTTCTTTTCTTGTTATCAAACAAAGTTCCAGACTGGCTTCTGTTTACGCCCGTGTGTGGTCGTGGTGTCCCTTACAGTAAATAGGTCTCAATGGTGGCATCCATCCAACTGGACATTCCATCTCTAGCCCAGCCAAGCTTCGAGAAAGGTAAAGTTGTCAAGCTCCTCTCCGTATCCGCCCTCAACATGAAAGATGTGCAAGCACAAACCAACTCTCCTGCCATCCCCAAGACAGCAAAGGCCCCACCGGCCCCCAACGCACAAACCACCTGCCCCCTTGTCTCAAACCCCCTTTCCAGCTAACGTCGACCATTCATGAGTGTCATTTCCGCATTAATTTTCACCCAGCAAGAGTTGTATGTTGTACCAAGATGGTACACGTGTTCATCTTGCTGCGGGGGTGCTGGAGTTCGAATCTCGGTTCGAGCACTTACCAGTAATATTTGTTGTAAAATCTTTGGGTTTCCGTAGTCAGCCTTGAGCTGGTGAGCTTTTGGCTTTTTTGCAGGACTGAATTTTTTTCGGAATCATATGAGAATGAATGCCTATGGCCTATTTTCCTTGATGAGAAGATGGGTTTTCGTGTGGGTGGTTAGAGGTGGTGGTGATGATGTGTGGTTGGTTGGTGTCGGTGGTCGAGCACATCAGAGGTTTGGGGTTCTATATCGCACACCACATCCTCCAGATTGACAATCAGCATCATCCAAACAGCGATACTTGTCAAAACACAATGTTGAATTTTTCCAAAAAAGAATTGTAACTTTGTTGTTATGATATCCTCTGAGCCCATATATATGTACCATCCTATCCCATACTATTCTGTTATTTTATTAACTGCCTCTCAATCATCATCAACTGCTTCCCAAAATCCCCTCATACGCATCCTCCACCTCTCCCGCCAGCTCCAACAAAGCAACAATCACAATCTGATGCACCAAGTTTGGGAGCCTCTCCCTGTGCAACCCAATCCACTCCAGCGGCGGCGTCGCCTCCCCCATATCCCTCAGCTGCGGCGTCTCAATCACCGGCTCCTCCAGCGCCCGGTACTCATACTTGCTCATCGGCACCTGGACCTCCGCCGTGATCTTCTCCGTCTTCTCACCTTCCCCTTCCTTTCCTTTGCCTTTTGTCTTGTCTTCTGTCACCTTGATGCTCGTTACACTTGGCAGCTCCCTCCCCCACGTTTGCGCGAGAGTCTTGGCGTGATTAGCCCACATGCCTCTGATGTAGGAAATCCGGCTGTAGTTCCATCCGACTTCGACCTTGCCCTCAAAAGCCGATTTGAAGATATAGTCTATTTGCTTGGGGGTCGCGATGGCTTGCCAGGTTTGCATCACCGCCTCGACTTGCGGAACCTTGAGGATGGTGCCTCCTCGTGACCCAGTAGCGCTAGTAACGACATCCTCAACCGAGAGCTCAGAGAGCGTCTTTGGGGAAGTCGTGTTCCGTACACCCGCCAACCCGATCCTCAACTGCCCAAGCGTCAACCCCAATATCGAATGGATCCTCCCTTCACCTACACTCGCCGCAAACCTTGCCTGAGCATTGAGCGCCTCCATCTTGAACACCTGATGATCCGAGAACGTGCTGGGGAAAACGCCCAGGTTGACAGCCCTCAGCGTCACCACCACATCAGTGTCAAGAGAAATCGGACTCTTGCTCACCGCACTCTCAGGATCATTCCTGTCCGGCGACCCTGCTCCCCCATTTTGCGCATTACTCAACCTCTTCACCACCCCTTCCACCCCTTCCACTCGTCTCCGTTTCATGTACCTCTCCACCTCCTTCAGCCCAACCTCAAATCCTTCCCTTCTTTCTTTTATTAGTCTCTGAATAGCCTGCCACATCGCCACCCCCTGTGCCGCCGAGCTCGTAGTGCCAAAGACTTGAACTGCTTCTCCGTCAAAGATGGCGACAAGCCTATCACCCGTCCCGTCTTTGCTTCTGCGAACGTTGTACATCAAGAACTCGAGCTGTCTCACGTCCGCGACGAGGAAGGCCTGGTAGTCAAATGCCGCTTTCACTCTCAGTTGGCTGAACCCGACCGAAGCTTGAATCATAGGCGTCTCGTTCAGTGCTTGCTCCCGTTGCGGCCACTCAATGCTCGTCCGGAGCTTGAAGTCTTGAAGGGTGACAAACCCAGACATCCTCCCCGTAGACTCAATCCCAATCATCTTGAACCCAAGGCAGAGGTTTTGCTCCCAGTCCGACGTCTTTTTGCTAGAAACCCAAAAGTCATTGATCGAAAAGGTCGACTTCCCCAACGCCTGTCCCAAATCAACGTTGATCTTCAGTGCCGTGATACTGATACTCGCCGTCCAGGGAAACGCCGCCGTCCGAGCCACCTGCTGATACCGCTGAACAAGATGCCCCTGCGACGTCTCCGTAGCAAGCTTAGCAATCGGTGAAGAAGCAGCATCCACCATCGGATTCTCCAGCACCTCCCTCGGCAGCCAAATCTCCCTAAACAGCAAAAAGTCCTGGAGCTGCTTCGCGTTGACCGAGACCTCCATGGGACTGACTTTGAGAATCGCCGAAACTCCGCTCGTGCCACTGACATGCCTACTGTTCAACAGCGAGAGCACAATCGACTGCACCTTGAAGCTCCCCGTTGGCTCGCGAGAGTAGACATGCTTGACAGAAGCCTGCAGGTTGGTGAACGCGCCTGACAAGGCAAAGAAGTTCCCGTGGTCGATCGAGCGGACCGTGTTGGCGGTGAAGTAGACATCCTCAAAGCTCGCCGTAGCAGCCACCTGAGCAATAGGATGACAGCTCAGCGAAAACTCCTGCTTGCAGATCCTCAACCCAAGGTTGAGTTTCATCCGCCCCAACACAGCCGTCGGGTCTGCCGTGAGGATGCTATCCTCCTCGACAAGCTTGACCTTGGCCGCGATGTTCTCCGCCTGTGACTGCGCAGCACTCGGTTGTTTCTTGCGGTCATTCTCCCTGCTGCTAACGACATGCTTGATGCTATTGCTGATATCAACAATCAGCGGCACCACCGACGGCGAAAGAATATTCGTCGACGGATCCAACTTCACCTCCGCATGAAGCGACGGATCATCCCTCGCATTATCCCTATACTCCACCTTCCACGCCAGCCCAGGAGATCTCAACACGGTGCTCCCCGCTGTTGTCCCATCATGACCCTGCCGTGTCCCCGGCCTCACAGCAACCCTCGTCGCACTCACAATATCATCCGGCGCCTTCTTCCCACTCAAATGCACCACCGCCCCCGCAAAATCGGCATCCACCAGCAACGACTCCATCCTCTTTTTCCCAAAAATACTTGTGCCAGTCTTCCTCTCGTTCACTTCTTGCGTCCTGTCAGGCGAAACCGGCTCCGAACTACCCATCCTCTTGTTCACAACCGGATTCCAATTCTGCGACGCCCTCTGCACATTCCTAAGGCTCAAACTAATCGAATCATTCAGCTTCGCCGCCGGAATAATACACCCACTCGTCAGCCTCAAGTCCAAGCTCTTCCCAACCGCCTGGAAAGCCAACCTCCTCGCCTCTGCCGTAGAGACATACGCCAGCTTGAAAATAATCTCCGGCAACAACGCCGAATTCGGCGATCTGACCTTCTTGTCTTGCTGGGCAGGGTTGACCATCTGCAGCTGCAAATTCTCAATCGTCAACCTCGCCGAGTTCCTCGTCCTCGTCCCAAACTCGATCCGTTCAAGCGTCAAAACAAGATCCTCCTTATCATCATCCTCCATCATCTCCAGCTCACCACCACCACCACCACCAACCAACCAAGCAACCAGAATATCCTGCATCTCAAAAGTATAAGTAACACTCGAGAAAAACGCATCAATAATATCTCCCCCTTCTTCCTCCCCCTCCTCTTCACCCCGCGCTTTTCCCTCCCCATCATCAATCATAATCCTCGGCCTCGACTGCCTCAACTTTTTCAAATACTCCAGCTCCTTGCTCGTGTCAAGATCCTTGATCTTATCCCCCATGTACCCCAAAACATCAACAACAGTCGACACCGTCTCAGGCGAGAGCTCAACCCGAAACCCATCACTCTTGACATTAAAAAACCTCCTCTCCTCCTCCTCCCCATCTTCTCCCCGTTGCGAACTCCCCGTCACCACCGCCCCAAAAGCCACACTCCCACAACTCCTCATACCACCATCCCCCCCATCATCCCGTCCCTTCCTAATCTCAAACCTCACCCCCCTCAAGTTAACATCAAACTGCGGATGACTCAACGTAGGCCCGTGCCCGTCCACCCGGTTGTTAACCCCCACATGAACCCTATCAAGCCTAAACAGCACATTCGCCACCACCGGTTCCTTCTCCGACGGCAGAGGACTATTCCCAAACACCTCCAACCCTGCAAACGTGAGGTTGGTCGAGTAAGCCATTATCGTCTCGGTCTTCTTGTCCTTGTTAAGCGGTTTATCCTGCTGCTGGTGGTGGCCAACAACGTCATCGACATGCTCTCTTATAACCCTCCCCTGCTGCTGCAACTCACTAACAGCATTGGAGATCTCAGGCCTGTTGAGCGCAGAAAGGAGGCTGTACACAGCCGACGCATCAAGCTGCACCAGTTCCACAGACGAGTACACGCTGATCGTGTGCTCGCCCGGTTCAATGTGGCTTATTATCCTCCCGCTCGCGGGCGGGATCTGAAGGAGCGAGATGCTGCGGGCGACATTGTTGACCCTGATTTGGATGTCGTGCTGGTTTTCCTTGATGTCAAAGTCAAAGATGAGCTCCTTGCCAAAGTCGGCTGCCATGGCGGCTCTGGAGACGGTGCCGTGGATGGTGTATGTGAGGGAGCGAAGGAGGGGCACGGTGATGGTGTATTGGTCCATAAAGAGCGCGGCGTTGGCCTTGAAGGCGGATAGTCGGTCTGCCATCTTCTTCTTCGGGGGCGAAGGGTTTCTGGGTGAGGGGGGGAGGAGTTGGTCTTTTAGTTTGTACAGCTGTGCAAACTCGTCGCGGACTAGCAGGTCGAGGACTTCTGCGAGGGTGACGGGGTCTTGTCTGATTGTCAGGTTCATGTACTGGTTGCTTGCCGTTGTCTTGATCGTGTGGGAATCGGTGGTTTGCGTTGCTTGGAACTCGTGCGAGACGAACACACTCGGCTGTTCGAGCACCAGCTTGGCAAGCTTCTGGTGATGACTGCGGAGACTGGAGGACGCAGAGTCGCAGCTCAGAATACCGTTCGTGTTCAATGTATTGTCGGCTTTTCTCGTAGCCAATACTGAAATCTTGGCCCCGTTGCTGAAAGACGATGAGTAGAGGTTGACAGCTTCCAAGATGAGAGAGCCATGGTCGAGAGACAGGACGCAGTGAACTGTCTGTCTCTGAACCTTGACGGGTGTCTTTGGTCTAGGTGCATTCTCTGGCTCAGGCTCCGGTTCCGGTTTGCTTTGCATCTTCTTGGCCATCCTCAAGATACTGCTCGCCAGTTCGCAAAGCTCCCAGTTCAAGCTGACAGCAGCATCCTCGCAGTGAACATTGACGAGTACGGCAGGCTGGTCACCCGCCTGGTTCTGAAGAGCAGGTTTGACCTGCAGTCTCGTCGTAAGATCCACCAGCGTAACAGCATTCTGCTTCGGTCCTGGATTCAAAGCAACTTGAAACTGCTTGATCCTCGCAACAGCCATCACCGGCTTGTCCGAACCCCCATTACTCTGCGCCTTCGCCGGCGGTCCAAAAACAATATTCAATAGCACGCTTTCGGAAACATTCTCCAAATCCCAACTCCTCCACTTCTCAAAAGCCGACACCACCTCCTGCCTGAGCTGGGCCGATGCTTTCGTCAACGGCGCAAAACAGTCCATCTTGATCTGCTCCCCTATTAACGGAGCCAAAACCGACCAAGTCTGGCGAAGACGCATGATCAGTTTCCAAGAATCATACGTTCTCAAATGCTGAGACGCCGAGCGAAGCACCGATGAAGGCCGTATGAGAAACGAAGGATCTTGAATATTCTTGCCGGAAGAAACAAGCCGTCGAACCAGATTCCGAGACCTGACACCCTCTTGTGACGACACCTCAGCAAACACCTTCCCGAGGTCAGCCCCCAGAACACCGGCGCGGTGAATCAACGAGGCCAGATAATCAACTTTCTCAGACGAAGTACTGCTCTGGATATTCCCAATCTCAACATCAAGATAAGAGACATCCTTGGTCCCTATCGCCGCCGCCACATTGTCGATGCGAGCCACCGCAGCTGCCTGGGCCCCCGCCATGTCCTGATACCGCTCAGTGGCAGAAACAGTAGCCGAATCCAGACGAACGTGGAAAGAAGTCCGAGCCTCTTTCGACTCGGGTTTGAACGCATCCTTCCACGTTGTTTCCGTCCGGGAGGTAAGCACCAGCTTCGAAAGCGCAACATCATACTGGTCCTGCTCGTCCATAGGCTGCTCAATCGAGTTCGGATCAGACGAATTAACAAGCCGCAAGTTGGCATGTGGCAGCTTGACCAATATATCACCAATACGTCCCTTCAAATGCTGATCCTTCTGCATGTCCAAAACCTCCTGAACAGAGCTGATTTGCATAGCGTCAAGAATAACATCAGGATCAACAGGCTGCAGAGCCCCCAGCAGCGTCGCGACATGCCGTAATGATGTTGGGTTGCAAAAAGCCGTCAAGCCATTGGGGAACTCAACAAGAACACCAGTGTACGGCAACTCTTCGCTGAGTTGACTAGGATCGATATCTCCAAGATTAAAGTCTGACGAGTCAAAATCATCGTCGTCATCGTCCGCCTCTATGCTCTGTAGCAGCACCTCCTTATGGCTTGGCTTGACGTTCTCAAGCGGAAAGTACGGCGCAAAATACTGGCTGGAAAATGCAACCGTATTGTGAACCACGTCTTGACGCTGTTGGCTATCCTCTGGAGCGCTGTAAAAGGCAGAATGGCGAGTTGACGGTGAAAGTTCTCGTCCATGCAATGACCCCCGGCCACCAAACCGGTGACGGACAGGAGATCGGAGATACTGGTCTGACTGTTTCCCTAATCCACTTGGCCGCGGCGAGCTTGCAGGCTTCAGAATACTGCTCTGCCCCGAACTGGCAATAGATAGGAAGGAGGATTTGTGCCGTAAGCCTCGGGATCGCCTCGATGTCCCCCTAGAGTTGAGAGATGCCCTATCATCCCCTCCAAAGTCTGCTATTGTCAGTGGCAAGGGAACAGGCGGCACGCTCTGAGACGGAGGGTCAACCGGCTCAGGTACAAAATCATCCGTGAACCCAGGCAACACGAGAAAAGGCGTTCGATGAGTACGCTGATCGTGGCGACGAATGAGCTCCTGTTGAAGTCTCCGCTCCTCAGAAAAGTTCGCCTTTCGCCCTATCATGGCGAGCCGTACACTGGTTTCCACAAGTGCATCCGTCTCTACTGGATGTTGAGGGCGTGTCTTGTATCGTGTTGCTGATTCTGCATTGACACAGGATAGCTTGACATCCGGGATCTTGACATTGGCCCGCTTGGAGTAATGTGACCCAGCCCAGTCGTTGAAGTTTACATCGATCAGGCCAGTGGAAAGAAGAAAGGCAGCTTCCTCAACGTGGATCCAAATCCGCACTGACTCCACAAACACCCGGAGAAAGGTGACATCGTAGACGACAATCGAGGAGAGTATGATGAGGGCGTTCTCTTCGTCGTCCAAGCAGAACACGAAGGCCTTGCCTGCACTGACTAGTGTTGTCAGGAACTCTGCTGTACACTCGCCAGTGACTGCCCCGACAGAAAGATCCCAGTTGCACATGTAGGTGGGCTCGGCTGGAGGCAGCCCGAATAGGCGATGGCCATAGACTGTGATCCCATCCACAAAGAGCTGGGTGCTTGACGTTGCGCTGATGGGTGTTTCTGCCCCTGACTCTGTATTCCCCAAGGATAGGTTGAGCGGTGCAAGAGTCAGTTCCATATCCATGTAGTAATTAGTAAACCGCAGATCGAGGGCAAGGTTTGCTGTGTCGATCTGGATGTGCCGCTGGCATGAGTAGAGATTTACAGGAAGCAAAATCTTCGGGTCATCCGCTCTTATGCTGAGGATGACGTCAAGGTCGTTCGTCTTCTTAGGCGGCGGCTTGTTGGCCAGCTCAGCACTTGGATCGTTAGCTTTCAAGCGTAGCATATCTTGATACTCCTCCAACGTCTTGAAATGGACGTCTTCACCGAAATAATTGTCCTTGAGGACAAGCATGTAACGAACCAGAAACCCATGCAGCTGAGCGACCGGCGACTGCCCAGAGATATTCAGGACGATGGTGTCAATGTTAGATGGAGAGGTAGTTACGTTGTAGTGATAGGCGCCATCGATGACCAGATTTTCCAGATGCCCAACCTCTTTTGACGTGAGAAACGGCGCTTGTGTATTCCACGGTGGCACGTGCAAATCGACTGATGCATTTTCTGCACGAATGTCGAAGGGGATGGCATTCTTGCTGGGCCTGAAGGTATCAATCGGCACAGATGTCACGCATCGAAGAAGTGGGCTCGATATTATGAGGAATGTGTTGTCATCAAGGTCCGTCGGGCTGTTGATGATATTGGCATCGTTGAGATTCAGGAAAATGCGGACGTTTTGGAGCTGGAGGTTGAGATGGTACCTGAATGGGGTGAATACCATGTAGTCAGGTGGAGGCCCAGTTGTCCAGTCATCTACTAGGTCGGTGAGAAGAAATATGTGATCCCGCAAAAGGAAGAGCGATAGGTCATCACTGGCAATGTTGAAGTGCCATTGCCGAAGAGAGTTCCAGCGCAATGGGGTGGACAAATCACAAGATATTCTCTGCCTACCCGATTTCCATAACACCTCGTGGTTTATGCTGCTCGATATCTCGGCACTGGGAAAGTCGACCTTGAGCGAGTTGCTATATCCGGAGCTCCCAGCTGTCATGTCCATGGAATAAGTCACAGTCGTATTGACCGGGGCTTTGATGTCAAGCCAGCCATATGGTCGCTGGTGGACCTCAGCGGCCTGATCAGACTTCTTGGATCGAGCGCGAGACTTGCGAGTATCGTTGGCGCGTGTATTGTTATTGGGGTCTGGCTCCTTGCCCTTCCATCTCCAATTTTTCGATTCCTCCCTGACGGGAATGCGGATATTGGTGGTGTCCTCAAGTTCGAGGTAGAACTTGAACTGCGTCGGCACGCGATACGCACCGGGGACAAGATGCGGTGTTGGAACAGCATCCTTGCAGAGGCTGGGTACAAAGATGCGCTGAAGTTCCGCACGATGTCTGTCTGCCCATGGCCCATAGTTCACAGAGCCACCGTTTATTGATAGTTTGATGGCCCATGCTGGGGGCTCGTCACCATTGATGTTGGACAGCAACTCTGGGGCTTTCTCCGCCGGTGAAGCTGTCATGGGCTGCACAAGTCCTGGGACATCCCAGTATATCGTCAAGGTGGCTTCTGGACTATCCAAAAGGGTGGGCACCGCAGCATACTCGATGGACGACCACCTGGACTTTTGATCCTCCGCCTCTTCGGAAAGGTAACGTGACAGCCCTTGCCAGTGACCACTTCCAGGCACTTGGCTTGCAGCGGTCCCGATACCTCTGCTTGATGGAGAGAAGGACTCAACGGACTTGTTCCAAAATGGTATAAAGCCCCTGAGACCCTCCCGTAGTCGACTCCTTTGACCTCGCAAGAACGAACCCTTTTTCGGCGGAGACAAGGACCCCTGGGCACTCTGTTTCTCTCGTTCGGCACGGTTGACTTGATCCTCCTTGAAATCTGGATTTTCCTTCATCTCGATCACGGGGTGTTTGAACTTCAGCCGGAAGCATTGTCGGTACGGGTCAGTCGTATCGGTCTCGGTGGCCGTAGCATCGATTTCGCCTGAGAAAGACTCGGTCTTGACAATCAATACCGCCGTGGTATTCTCATTGCCCATGACCATGGCCGCTCCTTTGCATTTCAAGTGAATTGGCAAGGTCTGCAAAAAGAGTGGTATGTCATCCACTCCGCTCGGGCTGCTGCTCTCCTCATCCCTGCCTGTATCAGAAGCAGACGATAGGAAGCTGTCGCGCCTTTTCTCTTGAGTGTCCGATCGGTCGTTCTGGGCGGTGAAGCGTCCTGCTGATGGGCTTCTGGACGCACTTGACCGTCGCGATCGGCGTCGGCGCAAACGAGAGGGAGGACCAGCCGGCACATTTTTATCGCCCAATCCATGATGTACCTCATCCACCAACTTCTCGGAGTTTGAAAGACCAGCTACTATCGAGTCGTAGGCCGGGCTCCGATTGTATATAAACCACTCCAAGCCACGGAGCGAGACTACAACACGGCACGGTGTCCTCCTTGAGTGTTCGTCGGAAGCAACATCTTGCTTGTTTCCCTTGCCCTTTGCCTTCCCAATCTCCACATGCCGGACCCTTCGTAGCCAGTATGCCCATGTGATGTGTCCATTCTGAACTAGAATCGTCTCGTTATTGCCGTGATATCGAAGACCGGTGAAGAAGATGCGTCCAGCGAGCAAGGATATTTGGAGCGCCTGAATATCGATGTAGATTCGGTATTGGTGCCATGTGTACGTTCGTATCCCCCACGATACAATCGACGCGAAGACTCTGTTGAAGTAGAGCAAGGAGAATGTTGATCTTTTGCTGGGTGGTAAGCATCACATGCCTATATGGGCTCCTAATGCATCGCCCACTTACAAGACACCACAAGCTATCAGGATCCCGCAAAATTGCCTGCCAACAAGCCATTAGTCGATATATCCATGTTAAACCAATCTTATGATACCAAGAGCTTACGCATTGAAGGCAGTTTCATTGCTGAACCAGCCCGACATATTGGTGAGTTGATGGTGGGTTCGTCTCGCCACGGGCGCCGCGTTGCTGTTGAACCCCTTTCAGGCCGTATGCGCCGCTCCTCATTCCGCCGTAAGAAAGTGGAAAGGTAAAGTCAAATTCTATCGCATGTCAAAAAAAATATTCCGCGCGACCCAAAACTCCGGTAGCAAAAGACAAAAATGTATGGAGCTTGTATTGCAAGAGCAATCCGGCTCAGTTGTAATTGGAAAGCTTCAGACACGGACCAGAAGTGCTGTCGCGACACTATCGACAGGGGGTAGAGTCCACTGAGAGACTGTGCGTCACTGAAAGCAGGTTGCCGGCGGGCATCCCGCTCTCAAGAACCCGGCAGGCAACTGGCGCAACAATTTTGTTCCCTACCGGCGCGTGGGTGGAAGGTACTTTGATACATGCCCAGCGCTGTAACACCCCAGCCAAGTGCGCGGGACCACCCCAGTTGCCTCTGCGGCGCTGTTTGGAGCTTCTGGCCCGAGGATCGTCGTCATCTCAACCGCCTCCAACACAACCACACAACGTCGTTTTCTGGGAGTTTTGTGCTCCACCACCATGCACTTCGCACCTTTGAAGGCTGCTTTTCCCACCGGTTGATCCCGGTATTTGCTTACATTTCCCACGTCTGTCCAGCACCCATCGTGACAATGGGGGGCTCAGGTCAGAAGTTCGAGACCATCACAACTGTGGTTGCTGGTGTCGCGTCCATTATCGCGACCTTGTTGTCTATTGTGTATGGCTTCCTCTAGCTTCTGTGTCTTGCCCCGGGTCAAGGCTCTCCACTAGTATGTCCCGTTAACTGACTCGTTTGCTGAACAGATCGATATGGCTGCAGACGTGAGTCCATACCCAAGTGTGGCATCCACCATGAGACGAATCCCAGTAACAGCGAAATAGTAAGAATTACCGGAAGCCGTTGCTACAACGCTATGTCGTCCGCATCCTCCTTATGGTCCCCATTTACTCCATTGCCTCGTGGTCCAGCATGGTCTCGCGAACAGCCGCCGACATACTCGACCCGATACGAGATATCTACGAGGCCTTCACGATCTACACCTTTTTCCAGCTCTTGATCAACTACCTTAGTGGTGAGAGGGCACTGATTATCATGACACATGGTCGGAAGCCTGTTCACCACGTATGGCCCCTGAACCATGTGCTACCTCCCTTCGACATATCTGACCCGCATACCTTCCTCGCCATCAAACGCGGTATTCTACAGTATGCGTGGCTCAAGCCTTTGCTTGCACTAGCGACGGTCATCATGAAGGCTACTGGGACATTCCACGAGGGCAGAATTCAACTCGACTCGGGATACCTTTGGAGCGGTCTTATCTACAACGCCAGTGTGACTATCAGTCTGTATGCTCTGGGCCTCTTCTGGGTCTGCATGAATGACGATCTCAAGCCTTTCCGGCCGATGCCCAAGTTCTTGTGCGTCAAGCTTGTGATTTTTGCCTCGTATTGGCAAGGCTTTGCCTTGTCGATATTGGTTTGGCTCGGTGTCATCCCAGAGGGCGCCGACAAGTCTTCAGAGAGTATGGCTGCTGCCATTCAGGATTTTTTGATATGCATCGAGATGCCGGCCTTTGCCATCGCTCACTGGTATGCCTTTTCGTGGCACGATTTTGCCGACAACAGGATTTCTTCGGCAAGAATGCCTGTACTGTATGCTGCGAGAGATGCTTTTGGAATCCGCGACCTCATTCAGGACTCCAAGGAGACATTCTCAGGAGACAAATACGGCTATCGGGTCTTCGATTCTGGGGACAAGATCATGGCCCATGAAGCCTCCCGATCACGACTGGCTCGCATCAAGGAAGGCATGCGCTATGAAAGGGGAGGCAAGGGCAAATATTGGATTCCGAGGCCTGATGAGATCAACCAGACGACACCTCTGCTCGGTAACAACGGCGGGCCAAGTCGTCGAAACGGGTCTCAGTCACCACATACCAACGATCTAGATGAGTTGATACTTGATCCAGATGAAGAAGCCCTCTACAACAGTGCCAGGAAGCTTGAGTTTGGGGATTGGAACGTAGGTGGCGTCTCTGCTCACATGACGGTTTCCGTTACTGATCAAGATTTAGTACCCGGTTATCACAGCAAATCAGCCAGCAAGTGAGAGGTACCGGTCGCCGTTCCCCAGCCCGTATCAACAAAGCCCCTCACGACGTACACCCGATGGTAGCTTTTACCAGCGCTCTTCCACAAGCTCGGTTCCTTCGTTGAATTCGAATGCGGCACTAGACCGCAGAAAGAAGCAAGCACCAGAAGGACCACAAGCTGGTATCGATGACAAGAAAGGAAAGAACAAGGCCAAGGGGTCCAGCTCAACTGGAGTTGGTGGTGCTGATCCACTCGAAATTGCCTATGGTCCAACAATAGGAACGCACAAAGAAATTACCGAGGACGACTTTAACGTTGATGTCGAAAGCGGCTTGCACAAACCACAAGATCATGAGTTTGTTGAGCCTCATCCTACGCCTCCTCCACGGGAGGATGACGAGAGCCCGATCAATGAGGAACGTGGACAATGGGAACGGAGTGATGGTGATGGTGCAGATGACAGCCACAAAAGCCCCCAGTATGCAACTGGGAGCGAAGAGGAGTTCCAGAATGTCTGGGGACGGTGATTGAAGTTGTTGATTTTGCCACCTTTGAGCATTCGTCGAGGTTCTTTTTAGATACCCGCCTTGAAGATGAATCAGGTTTTATGTACACGGTTATGGATGTCTGGGTTAGTCTGAGCATTACATGGAGTTGGTGGCGGCGAGGGCATGGTTTGCGAGCGTATCTTTACACACTGCTTTGGAATAATAACAGAGTTACTCTTCAAACGTCTTTGGACCATAGGTCAAGGGCTTGCTTGACCTCAAGGTGTTTACGTTGCCCCCGGGTGTAATGTGAATCGTGACGTCTAACAGGCACTGGCTAGATAATCTAGCCTGCGGCAAGTGGCAAATCCGGCAAATCCGAGCCAAGCCACTTGTAGCTTGGAATTCAAGCTCTTTGGGCAGCGATCCAGATCCACATGCGGTTCGTCAAAGCACGGTTCAGCTGAAGCTCAGCTTTGCTTGTGCTCAGAAGCTCATGAGCTCTCATTCAACCTCATCATCGAGGAATGGACACGGTGGGTGTAACCATGTCCTGTACAGTATACCTAGGTACCCTGTTAAAACCGAGATGCAACTTTGTATCCATATCAGCCAGAGGTTCGAACTTCACGGCTCCACCGGTTTTTTAATTGTTTCTTCTTCCTTGCCTAGGCGCCGTTGATAAGGCCAGCGTTAACCCCGCAGTTTCCGTTATGCCCATGGCATGGTCCCACCAACCGGTGCAACCCGTGTGAGAAAAAAAAATCAACAGGCCACAATGTAGTGTGACATTTTGTGGTTTCGGTGTCTGGCGCTAGCGGTGTTTGATGCGAAACGAGCTGCCGAAAACAGTGGTCAATTGGAGCTCCAACGGCGAGAGGTGGCTGGCAAAAGGGCGAGCTTCCCAGTTCCTTCACCTTGATTTGTGAGCTTCCTCGACGTTGCTGTTGCAATGTGGTCTGTGCTTTTTGGCCATCCTCGAAAGAAAAGAGGGGCCTCATCCCTACCTACTTGGACGTAAGCGGGGTCTAAGCTCCGAGAGCACCTCAAAGCAAGTGCTTGTTGTTGGAAATAAAAAAGGTCGAGGTTTGAAGAAATTATAAGCTCTCGAGACAGGGTCGAGTAGAAGAAAATAAGACATCAAAACCATCAGCCAACTGATATTATCCTCAGGGTATGCATAACAATATCCATCTATGCTTGTCTGCCTGCTGCCGCCGCGGGGGTTCTCTTTTTTTTTTGGCTGGATTGGCGAGGGGAAAGAGTGAGAGGAGGGGGAGGGGCAAAACAGGGCTTGACCCTCCCATGTCAGTTGCATCAGCCGACGCACAAGTGGCAGGGGGCCAATGGAGGGGCACCAAATCCACCAAATTGATATCATCGAGCCCCACCAATTGTTACCCCTCCACCTTCCCCTCCCCATCGCCTTTTTTTCACCTTTTTCTCTCCCTCACAGCAGGCTTCGCATCCCACCGGCTCTGCTTTCTCAACCCTCTCTGTTTTTTTTGTTAGCTGTCGGTCTGGGGCTGATAGCTGATCCACTGAAGCAGGACTACGGTACCCTGGTTAGCCGACTCTCGGGTTTGCTCGACCAACTTTAGGGAAGAAAATTTCTCTGCTCGCGGAGTTTCTTCACCTCGACACCATCAACCAAAAAACCCATTTCTAGGAGGTACTCGTCAATACCGCCAAGATGGTCAAGTAAGTGCCTCTTCACGCCGCCGTACACCTCTGCTCGTCTCTGGCGCTTCGAGGGCTCGTCGTCGATGACCTCTTTGTCCGACGGCATCGATGCGCGCGCCCAGGTTACCCCGCCCGGAGATAGCAAGAAGACTGAGCAGAGGTGTTGCACGACAACACGTAGGTGATGGCGATGATGTTAACCATGGTCCCTCTGCAGCTTCACTATCGACGAGATCCGTGCCTTGATGGGTAAGTCTTCCTCTCTTCGTCGCTGAGCATGTCGGCGCCATCTCGAGATATCATGCTGACCCTCCCCTCCAGACAAGCCCACGAACGTGCGCAACATGTCCGTCATTGCGCACGTCGATCACGGCAAGTCCACCCTGACCGACTCTCTGCTGGCCAAGGCTGGTATTATCTCCTCCGGAAAGGCCGGTGAGGCTCGTGCGACAGATACCAGAGCCGACGAGCAAGAACGTGGTATCACCATCAAGTCCACTGCCATCTCCCTGTATGGTACTCTTCCCGAGGAGGAGGATCTCAAGGACATTGTTGGCCAGAAGACCGACGGTTAGTAATCCTCCATCAGTTTTGCTTGCTGGTTAGGGCTGCGAAATGCTGACTGTCGATTCACAGGCAAGGATTTCTTGATCAACTTGATCGACTCGCCCGGTCACGTTGATTTCTCTTCCGAAGTCACTGCCGCTCTCCGTGTCACCGATGGTGCTCTCGTCGTCGTCGACACCGTCGAGGGTGTGTGCGTCCAGACCGAGACTGTGCTCCGCCAGGCTCTCGGTGAGCGCATCAAGCCCGTTATCATCATCAACAAGGTCGATCGCGCTCTTCTCGAGCTCCAGGTCTCCAAGGAGGATCTTTACCAGTCCTTCTCCCGTACCATCGAGTCCGTCAACGTCATCATCTCCACCTACTTCGACAAGTCGCTCGGTGATGTCCAGGTCTACCCCGACAAGGGCACCGTCGCCTTCGGTTCCGGTCTCCACGGCTGGGCTTTCACCATCCGTCAGTTCGCTACCCGTTACGCCAAGAAGTTCGGTGTCGACCGCAACAAGATGATGGAGCGTCTCTGGGGCGACAACTACTTCAACCCTAAGACCAAGAAGTGGACCAAGAACGGCACCGCTGACGGTGGTGCTCAGCTCGAGCGCGCTTTCTGCCAGTTCATCTTGGACCCCATCTTCAAGATCTTCGCCGCTGTCATGAACTTCAAGAAGGACGAGGTTACCACCCTCCTCGAGAAGCTCAACCTCAAGCTCGCTGTCGATGACCGTGAGAAGGAGGGCAAGCAGCTCCTGAAGGCTGTCATGCGCACTTTCCTTCCCGCCGCTGACTGCTTGTTGGAGATGATGATTCTTCACCTTCCTTCCCCCGTCACTGCCCAGAAGTACCGTGTCGAGACTCTTTACGAGGGTCCCGCTGATGACGAGGCTGCCGTCGGTATCCGTGACTGCGACCCCAAGGGTCCTCTCATGCTTTACGTCTCCAAGATGGTTCCCACTTCCGATAAGGGTCGTTTCTACGCTTTCGGTCGTGTCTTCTCCGGTACCGTCCGCTCCGGTCTCAAGGTCCGCATCCAGGGCCCCAACTACACCCCCGGCAAGAAGGAGGATCTCTTCATCAAGGCCATTCAGCGCACCGTCCTCATGATGGGTGGCAAGGTCGAGCCTATCGATGATATGCCCGCTGGTAACATTGTCGGCTTGGTTGGTGTTGATCAGTTCTTGCTCAAGTCTGGTACCCTCACCACCATCGACACCGCCCACAACCTCAAGGTCATGAAGTTCTCCGTCTCCCCCGTCGTGCAGCGCTCCGTCCAGGTCAAGAACGCCCAGGATCTTCCCAAGCTTGTCGAAGGTCTCAAGCGTCTCTCCAAGTCAGACCCTTGCGTCCTTACCATGACCAACGAGTCCGGTGAGCACGTCGTTGCTGGTGCTGGTGAGCTCCATCTCGAGATTTGCTTGAAGGATCTCGAGGAGGACCACGCTGGTGTCCCTCTCATCATCTCCGACCCCGTCGTCCAGTACCGTGAGTCCGTCACTACCAAGTCCAGCATGACTGCTCTCTCCAAGTCCCCCAACAAGCACAACCGTCTCTACATGGTTGCTGAGCCCATTGAGGAGGAACTTTCCGGTGCTATCGAGGCCGGCCGCATCAACCCCCGTGATGATTTCAAGGCCCGTGCCCGTGTCCTTGCCGATGACTTCGGCTGGGATGTCACCGATGCCCGCAAGATCTGGGCTTTCGGTCCCGATGGCAACGGTGCCAACTTGCTCGTCGACCAGACCAAGGCCGTCCAGTACCTCAACGAAATCAAGGACTCCGTCGTCTCTGGTTTCCAGTGGGCCACCCGTGAGGGTCCCGTTGCTGAGGAGCCCATGCGCAGCATCCGCTTCAACATCCTCGATGTTACCCTCCACGCCGATGCTATCCATCGTGGTGGTGGCCAGGTTATCCCTACTGCTCGTCGTGTCCTGTACGCTTCTGCTCTTCTTGCCGAGCCCTGCCTTCTCGAGCCCGTCTTCTTGGTCGAGATTCAGGTCCCCGAGCAGGCCATGGGCGGTGTCTACGGTGTCCTTACCCGCCGCAGAGGTCACGTCTTCGCCGAGGAGCAGCGCCCCGGCACTCCTCTCTTCAACATCAAGGCCTACCTCCCAGTCATGGAGTCCTTCGGTTTCAACGCCGATCTCCGCCAGGGTACTTCCGGCCAGGCTTTCCCCCAGTCCGTCTTCGACCATTGGCAACAATTCCCCGGTGGCAACCCCATCGATGCCACCTCCAAGGCCGGTCAGCTCGTCCAGACCATGCGCAAGCGCAAGGGTCTCAAGGTCGAGGTTCCCGGTGTCGACAACGTGAGTTTTATTCTTTACATTATGATGAGCGCAACAGTCTTGCTAACAATGCATACAGTACTACGACAAGCTTTAAATGGTGCCTGCCGATTGGCATATGACTCCTTTCCCTGTGTACTCAGCGTGATGAAAAGTTGGGGCGCATGGTTAATGTCTGGCGGTTACGACCCTGGGCGTGGAGGAGCAAAAACTAGGAAGGACGGTGGTGCGAAAAGGCAATTTCATAGAAAGTTGATGGCACCAGATTTTTCCTTGCTATACTTTTGCTTTGGGCCTGTTTTAAGTTACGTAGATATGAATTACTTGCATTGACAAAGAATTATGTTATATCATGGTGCCTAGATGTGAAGTGTCTCTTGTCATATCTTGAAGACTTTGGATGGAAGACAGAGCGGCTGGGCAATATGTTGACCTAACAGTTTGTTCTTTTCTTATGCCAGGCCAAGTCTCCCCTTATCATGTCTGCTTCCTGCCTGCTCTATCACATATGACCATAACCAGCTACAAATACGGCATCCCGTCCGCTCTGCCCTCGTCAAATAGTTGAGTGCCGAATCAGTACTCAGGTGGGTGACTACTGGGGAATCCTCGGTGTTGTATGTTTCTTTTTCTTTTTCCCCTTACATCATATTATACGACCATGCCAAAGATGACTTGCCTGTCAACAATTAACAGGATTAGCTTCTCGTCATGTATTCTTTTGCCTTTCTTGTTGGTCGTTTTGGTGAACTCTCGCTCTATCCAGAGTTGCTTTACCCTACATCGATCCTGCAGGAGTCTCCCTTGGGTCTGAAGGAAAGCATACAAAGAACAAATTTATCCCTAATGATTATCACAACGGGAACATGATCGCTTTTTGGTCTCTGTCCATTTCATTTTCTTTCTCTTTTCCATTAATCGCAAAAATAGGGTATCGAACACGATTATTAAAACACACAACTTTTTCCCATCCTGACCCCCCCCCTTCTTTCTCCCCTGTCCCATTCCTCTAACCATCTCTCTCCCCACCAACCAACCCCCTCAACAGCTATATTCGCTACACACCACCTTTATTTCCCCTCAACCAACCTCTCCACCTTTTCCAGGAGTATTTTGCTCTCCCTTCCGAGTCTCATCTTGCCGTTCTTGTCCGGCCTCTTGGCCTTGTCCATTTGCCTTTTCCACTTTTCTCTCTGCTTGATCCTGTCTTCGCGTTCCTTTTGCCTCCGGGCAAATTCGGCGTTGCGGGCTTCCTGCTTTGCCTTGAGTTCAGCCGCTTTGGCGAGTTCTTTTTCGTAGTAGTCGGGTTTGCGCTGCTTTTGGTTTTTGCCGCGGGAGCGGTCCCCGTTGTTGCGTTTGGGGAGAGGGGGGAAGTCAGGAGCGTTGGCGTTGGGATTGGGGGGTTCGTCGGTTGTGAGGAGGTGGAGGCGGTCGGGGTGGAGGTCTGGCTCGGGAGCTGGGCCAGTTTGGGAGGGTGAGTTGGGTGTTGGTTCGGAGGGCGCGCCTGCTGGGTGGATTATGGGAGAGGGTGGGAGCTCGGGGAGGGCGGGGGTGGGTTCAGAGGCGTGGGCGGCTTTGATCTTGGAGTATTTTTTTTTAATTTTGGCTTTGGTGATGAGGTCTTTTTTGATTTTGGTCACTAAGAGATGGTTAGTATAAGGGCGGCGCAAGACCATTGGGGTGGCATACCCTTGCGCTTCCAGGCGCCGTCGGGGAGGTTGTCGGGGCCTACTCGGAAGCCCTGGCGGGGTTTCTTTGTGAATTTGTCGGCGGCGTCGCCGTCTTCGTTGGGGCGCTTGGGTGCCATTTTTGGGGTTGGTGTGATGTTGGGGTGTGTGGGTTGAATGAAGCTCGATCTACGATTGACGATACTTGGAGCTGGTGGTGGAGGGACTTTTTTGCCAGAAGATTCGCGATAAGCGCGTTATCGGGACTTGGCAGTTTGGGCGGTGAAGCAATTAAAGGTGGGTCGAGTTGTGCAATGGAACGCTAGATGCGCTAATGCTCGAGGTTCGGTTAGTCACAGCCAACACATCTTCCTTTGTACTGCCGGGTATCAATCAACACTGATCAGGCGCACCAAAGAATTTGGAGATGGCGCAGAGGCACGGCAGATACGGGCTGTTTTTTCCTTTCACCAAAAGAGCTCGGGTTTCAGACACAGGGCGAGGGTGACAAGCCGGCCGGAAAGATCCATGCTGACACTGACTGGCACCTTGAACGGCATTTGGCGGATGTGTTCCGACATGCTACCAGAAGTGGCGATGACGCACATTGGTTCTGGACAATCTGTTGGCCAACCACCTGGCGTTCGCTTTCTTGCTGTTTTCCCTCACTCATCATCAGCCACGAGAGCCAACGGGTCTTGCTTGGTCGGACCTAAGACAAGTGCAGTCACGACAATCCACGGGGCATCGGGCATGCCAGCGCCACCACAAAAAGAAACCACATGAAGGTACCCGGCATTGTTCGTGGACATCGCTAACCCCCACTGAGCAGCGGAGTACTTAAACCGCCCACAGAAGCCCAGTCCTGGTCTAGCGTCCCCTGATGTGACCTGCCGTCACTATGAGAATCGAGCAACGTCTGAAGCTCAGAATCATTCACTCACATCGACGCAACTTTTGGTCCGAACCGTTTTCTCTTTCCCAACGCCTCGGAGCAAGTCAGCTTGCTTCATTCAGGCTCTTACAAGCCCCTGTCTGGACTTTTAATAACCCGCGCAAGGCACAGCTGCCGTTTCCAGCGCTCATCTGAGAAATAAAGAAATCGAGTGACTCGGGTCACGACCTTATCTCGGTACCGCTCGTCATTATTCATTCAGAACCCTTCTTTTCCAGCCAAAACATCAAACTGCTCTCAAATTTGCACGTATCAAACCGACTTCTTTGCTATTTGTCTTTGCTCGTCGGGTCCCTGCTCCGGTGTCACTACTGTTGTTATTTTCTTCTTATTCCGCCAACTGCTCCGAGGCCGAACAGACAGCGCATGGCTGAGGCCCGAGGCGGAAGCAGAGGCCTTCGCGCGTGGAGAAAAAGGTCCAGCTCACGGTGCTTCAGTTTGGCCACACGCCATGGGCACCTTGAATGACATAGGGTGACGGGAATTTGAACTCGTCTCATATTGCCGACGTCTTAATTTCTCGCTTCAAGTGGTCTGATCTGGGATTTCGAAAGTTCAAACATCATGCCCATGCTGCGAGAAGACGACGCAGGCCAGCAAGATGCTGTGCCAGATGTGCCGGATCATGTCGAAGATAATTTCACCAAAATAATTCCTCCACAGTTGCAACCGGGTCTCTCAAGGTCATTGAGCAGGAAACTGTCAGAAGAAAGTATCAGAACCGAGTTGTGTGAGGGACCTATACCGGATAGCCCTCCCGTCCCTTACAAGTCGACCACGCCTGAGCCACCATCACATGCCGTCTCTGACCGCGCCGAGTTGATTGAACGCATCAAGAGAGGGGAAAGCCCTACCTGGGTGCCAAATCGTCATCTGGGATCGTTGTTCCAGCAAGACAATATCTCGCTGCCGCCTCGAACACCGCCACCACCACCACCACCACCACCACCTGCGTCCATGTCCCCGGGGCTACTACCTCCCCCTACCATAACACCCGAGAAAAAGGATGGGGATGTGATCGGGCTGCAACCTGATGCTCAACTTCAGGAAGGACTAAATATCGAAAGACCACGATCCGCGCTCCATAGCGGCAATTTCACACCGCAAGAGCTGTCTCCTGGTGAGGTAGAGAAGGAAGCGAGGCAAAGTCATCACAACCCCTTTCAACCGCCCAGCAGTGCTCCATGGATTGCGACCTCACCACCAAGAGACTTTCATCCCTTTGGTTACGGGAATGCAGCTGCAAGCCACCGCAAGGATGCGTTCGACTACCGCAAGGAGGCCTTTGGTACACCGGGAACACCTTCACTTAGCTCGTCTCTTTCATCAAGCTTTGTCTACAAGCCACCAACGAGTCCGCTTGTTCAGTCAGAGATCAACGAGGAAATCGACTTGGCGCTACCCTTGAATAGTATCAATATTGCTTCGAGTAGTCCCCGGGCGAGCCCACGAAGGCACATGCTCAACTTCGGACCACCCTCCCTCAACAATGTGGCTGGCCAGAGACAAGTGCCCCAACGTCGTGAGGGCAATCACCCATATCAAGCCCACCAACCTCGACGATCTCTGAACTCAACTCCTGTATTTTCCTTTGCCGGCTCACCACCACCACCACCACCCACCCCTTGGAGTGCAAGACGACCGTCGGTGGGCTCAGAGGCATCCCCTCTCCATCACGCCTCCCTAGTCGGATCCTACGAGGAGAGCATCCTCCGAGGTCGCATGTCAACCACCCCCTCCAAACCTCTAGAATTCATAGCCCAAATCGGAGTTCTCGGTCTAGGAAAATGCAAGTCCAGCCTCCGTTGCCCACCACATGTCACCCTCCCCTTCTCGGCCGTCTTTTACAGTTACGCCAGCACCTCCCATGGCAGAAGCAAAACACACGATGGCCCAAGTCCATACGTAGGGAATATCGATCTCGAGAATGGACTCACCAACCCCGACGAGGGCCAACGAGCAAAGAAGAAACTCCAGTCACGATACCCCGAGCGGAAGGTCACAGCAGCAGAAGATGATGATGACGAAACCGGCGACCACCTCTCCGACAGTAGCAAACACCCAACCAACAACAACAACAACAACAACAACAACAACAACAACAACAACAACAACAACAACAACAACAACAACAACAACAACAACAACAACAACAACAACAACAACAACAACAACAGCAGCAGCAAGAAACGCCGCTCCCGCTCCCCCAAATCACCCCCCGGAGGTCGGTACCGCATCCCGGAAAAGGGACAACTCCAAATCATCATCAAGAACCAAAACAAAACGGCGCTCAAGCTCTTTCTTGTCCCTTACGACCTTGCGGGGATGGAGCCAGGGACGAAAACTTTTGTCAGGCAGAGGAGTTACTCGGCCGGTTCGATACTGGAGACTAAAGTCCCTGATATCAAACCTGTCGTCGACGCCAACACGTTGGGTAGTGACAGGGCGACGCTTCGTTATTTGGTTCACTTGCATATTTGCTGCCCGGCAAAGGGGAGGTATTATTTGTATAAATCGATCAGGGTGGTGTTTGCCAATAGGGTTCCCGATGGGAAGGAGAAGCTCAGGAATGAGATTACGCATCCTGATCCGAGGTTCTCGCCTTATAAGCCGGTGAGGGTGATGGGTCCTTCTCCGGTGGTGGGTGGGGGTCAGGGTGAGAGGAGGAGGAGTGTTGGGTTTGCTTTGCAGCAGCAGCGACAACAACAACAACAAGATCAACCGCGGGTGGCTTTCGGTGCTTCTGGGAGTCTGCCGAGGGGGTTTCAGCAGCCATTGCAGCAAACACCGGAGAGGGGGGGTGATAATACGGAGGAGGGTGTATCGCCTATGTCGGGGGTGCAAATGACTGGTTTGGCTGCGGCGAGTTATGATAAACTCAGCAAGGGAGATGTTGGTTATGGCGGGAACACCACTGTGGGAAGCACACCGTCGGCGGGACTGCTGTCTCAAAGGCTGAGGTCGCTCGGGGAGCAAGATAGACGGCCGTTTCAGCAGCCGGATTCGGAGTTGGCATGAGGGAGGGAGAGATGTGACATTTGGTACTAGTTAGACTACCCTCTTGTTAGAAGCTGTCAGGATCAGGACTTTTCCATCATGTAGGAGTAATTTGGAACTGTCTGGGCCGGTAGATAGAGACGACAAAGGTCATATCTTGTTGAATTCATAAAAATCACACAAATCACATTAGGGCTTACATATGCTTCCAAATCAAAATTGCATTGGCTCTTCAAGGATATATTCTTTCAAGATTGGTTATATACCTAGTCCACCCACAAAACCTACATCATTCACCTCCCATACAGCAACTTCTCCACCCTCTCCCCAATAGCCAAACAACTCGTCAGACCCGGGCTCTCAATCCCCAACAAATTCGCCCACCCCTCCCACCCCTTCTCCCTCTCAATATAAAAATCCACAAACCCTTTCCCATGCGCGACGGCGCTCGCCCTCCCCAGCTTCGGCCTAATCCCCGCGTAATCCGGCACGAGTTGCCCCTCGTCCAGACCAGGCAAATACCTCTTGACCTCCCTGATCGTCTCCCCCAGCCTAGCCTGATTAACCTCCAAATCACCCGGACCATCAACCCACTCCACATCCGGCCCAAATTTAATCCTGCCCGCAAGATCCATGGTCAGATGCGTCCCCAGCCCTCCATGGCCAGGCTCAGGGGCGGGGTAGATCAACGTGTTAACCTTGGGCTGGGGGGCAGGGTAAGAAAAGTAATTCCCCTTCGCATAGTACAGTTTCTTGTGTTGATCCTCCGGAACGATGAGATTGTTGATCTCAACCGCGCCCAATCCAGCAGCGTTGATGAGAGTTTCCGTTGTAATGGCGGAGGTTTCACCGCTGGGATCAGAGACGACGAGTTCCCAGCCTGAGGAGCCCTTGTTCCCTAGCGGGGTAATACCTTTCACATCGGAGGATAACGCGAGAGTACCGCCCGCTTCTTCAAACAGACCCAACAGGGTGAGCATCAGCGCGTGGGAGTCGATAATTCCCGTTGTTGGCGACTCCAAAATGGCTTTCTCTGCCCTGACGGCTGGTTCCCTTTCTTTGGCGGTTTCTAAAGAGACCCACTCAATAGGGACGTGCAGTTCATTCTTGCAAAAGTTGTGGATTTGCTCGAGGGCCGCGAGTTGGAGGTCGTTTTGGGCTACGATCCATTTCCCTGTGCGGCGGTGGGGGATGTCATGCTTCGCACAGAGGGAGTAGAGCAGTTCCTTGCCTCTGAGGCAGAGGGAAGTTTTGAGGGAGTCAGCACCGTAGTATATGCCTGCGTGGATCACCTCGCTGTTGCGGGACGAGGTTTCTGTTCCGATGGCATTGTGGCGCTCGAGGAGGAGCGTTGATGAGGAAGGATGGTTCCTGGCCAAAGATTGCGCAATCGCTAAACCAACTACGCCGCCGCCAATTACGGCGTGGGTAAAATCTGCATTGCGCCGGGCTGTGTTGGAAAATAGCCTCCTGAAAGCATATGACGTCGTTGGTGCTGATGTCAACAGTGTTGGTGAAGCTGAAGATAGCGATAAGGCTTTGATAAGGGGGCGCAAAGGGGCCTTGCGCACAGGCATTTCTTTTTACGTGCGGGCGCCGTCACGGGTATCGAAGGCTTAGTCTTGAGTGGACCAACTTATTGCTAAAAGAATTGACTTTCTCACTGTCGAGTTTCTCCCTTTGGAACAGTGGTTGAGATCTCAAGATGGTGAGGCGGATCTGGACTCGGTGCCTTCGGTGCTTGTTCGCTCTTCGGGCGGGCCTGGGTTAGTGGGCTGCAAGCTTGATGGATGCCCTCAACGACCTCTGCTGCACCGCTGCCGGAGCAGGGTCGAGGTGCCGCGTGATTGTCCAATGACACATTCTGGCCTCTTTGAGGGTCTGAGATAAGCTTCAGTACACGCTTCAAACAGCAGATTTCAATATTGAAGTGGTAAAAGTGGCCTGTTGAAAGCCAAACAGAGTTTATTTATTTGTCCTCGCCATCCCAAGTGTTGATGTCGTCCAAGGAAGCCAAAGTCTGTTTCCGGGGGTGGCCTTGGCATCACGTTAGTCAGGCGTTCTTGCGGTGGAACATCAGATGCTGTTTATGAATCATTCGGGACAAGAGCAGAGTAGTATACCCAAGGTAGGTAGGTACTCCGTAGTCATAGATAACAAGACGTGGCTGAGGGAAAATGACAGATATCAGACGGTGAGGAAGGTGAGAGAGAGCCGTCTTTAGCAAATAGGATGGCATCTTGTGGTCAGGTGTGAAGTCTCGCCGGCTTCAGGAAGGCACAAGGTTCTTCCACGGGCGGGTCCGATGGGAAAAACGGCCTGTGAAAGATCGTCATGCGTCACTCGGCAGGCAGGAGCAAGGGGCATCTGGTGGGGCTTCACCCCACCATCCAGCGCACGTCCACCTTGTTCCGGACCTGTCCAGACCACTTCCAGCAACATCCCCAAAAGCGTCATGCCTTGACTGCTTCGGAGTCTCAGAGTCTCCCCACTGGTTCTCTTGCTCCGACAAAACAACTCAACAATATTGCCGCCTCACGGACCTGAAGCGGAACACGAAGAAAAGCACCACATCCGAAGACGCAGCTGGTCACGGGAGCTGTGGCCAACAGAATCGACATCAACAACCACCAGATATCTTTGGTCAAAAGCCTTCCTATTCCTGAACTTATCAAACACACTTATCGTACCTAAAGATACAAAACCCACAATTCGCATACAGAACAACCGCGCAGAACATGGCATCCGCCATTCCGGAACCAACCAACAAGTCCATCAACGGAGACGGCGCTGTCTCGCCCTCTCCGGGAGGGAGGCACCCCTCCATCTCACTCCAAGCTACTGCGACCCTGAACGCCCAGCTGCAGCGGGAGTCACCCTCCAGACGTAAGTGTCATCTGTCCTACCCCAGGCACGCCTAGACACAAATCCACAACACTCTTTCGTAGTCGACTTGGACGATTCAGAGGCATTATTGTCACCTCGCAACTGAATTCGCAGTCCTGGTTGAGCTATCCGCGGAGTGCTGCTGGCTGCGTAAACCACGGCTCTGTGCTAACAATATCAAAAGGCTCATCTGGTAGCCCTTTGTCTCCCAGCCGAGCTTCCCCCATCAACGGCCGTCGTCTCTCTCAAGTCATTACCAACTTGCAACTCGCAGACCCATCAGTGCCAGCACCAGGAGAGATGCTTTCCGACTCGCAAACCAACAGGCCAGGGAGTTTCCGAGCCATGAGCCCCCACCGACTGTCCGTCACCGGATCCCCTCGATTGATCGCCACTGGAGAGCCCCGTCACAACCGAGCACCATCTCTTGGGGAAATACACCAGGAGTTGGAGACTGAGCAGGAGTTCCAAGTCAATAGGCTCCTTGGCGAAATTCGCCGCCTCCAGGAACAGGTCGATAGCTACAGGCGCCAGCAGTCTGGCTCTGCCGCCGGCAGCGAAGATCCTGCCGAGCGAACCACGACCCCGATTCCCACTTCGATCCCGCAGGTCCCAGCCGGAGCTAGCTCCGGATCCCTGCCGCGGTCCCCAGTCTTTGCTCATCCGCGCAGCTCGTTCGACGTAGCTCGCGCCGATCTACGTCGCCGGTCTAGAACCCCCAGTAGAGGAGCGTCGCCTAGGTTGCGGTCGACCTCGATCAGTGGGGACAGCGGCGAACAGTGGCATCTAGGCTGCCGTGACGAGAGTGCTTTCTACCAAGCCGAGACTCAAATGTTGATTCGTGAGAATCAGATGCTGAAGCACCGTATCAAGGAGCTTGGTAAGTTGCCAAATTGTCAGACAGTGGGATTCGATTGATTGCTAATATCACGCAGAGCGTCAGTTGACCGATTCGACCGGAAGCAATGCATCCATCACCCACGAGCCGTCTCATCCTTCACATCTCACCCACTCAACATCTGTTTCTGAAGAGGAATCGTCCAAGCCAGTCTAGAGAATGGCTCTCAAGCAAGCTTCGGATGAAACTTCGCCAGCTGTGCCAGATGAGCAGTACAGCTGTCTTTAGATGAAGTTTTTTCTCTCCTTGAAGAGCAGGGTGCACTTGGGCACTCGTCTCTTTTTGACGAGATTCACTTGGTCTTACGATTTCATTGTTGTCATGGCGTTTTATTGGGGGCATTGGCTTTATTAAAGAGTGAGTTTCGCAGCAAGAGCTGTTCTCTGGCGGTTATGCATCTCTTATGGTATCAATGGCGATTCATGGTTTCATCATACTAGCATTGTAATGCATACTGGAGTCTATCCAGGGTGCCATCTCATTCATTGAATTGGACGTTAGGACAAGCTTTGAAGGTCGGGTAGCCATAGGAACAGGCGTTGTAATTTTCTCGTCTTGCTTTTGATTGTTGCTTTATACTGTTTTCATATGCTCATTAATGGAGCTTATTAGTTTTATGGTATCAATCAAACCTCGAGATGTGTTTACGTTGGCGATGGTGTTTGATATCTTGAGATGCGTGAAGGCTACTTGGGATAACATGAGTGCCAAACCTTTCATCCGAAAATAGGTATAGGTAGTGACGTTGATGTGATGGAGATTGGACCATAGATTCTAGGAAGGGGACGCTAATGCAGGAACAAATCATCTCCACAACCTCAGATTATAAAGCTGAAACTAGTACTAGGGTTTGTGATGGACGGTATTCTGAAGGGCGAATGGAGATGGAGGTTTGAGTTGGCTGGTATACGCTCGTTTTGTGAGGACGTTGACAACACATACATAGGTACATACATACCTATATTTGGGTTGACCGAGGTAAGAGACCTACCCACATAAATGTTGTGCAACGGGAAAACCATTGCTTTTTTGCGGTGAGTACCTTATGTATGTTTGTCGGTCAGCCATTGACGATATTTTGTCTTGGGTTATTTTTATATCTGTTGCTTTCTCTTTTCGCTCTTTGCAGAGGGTGGCTTACGGGGTATCTAGGTGGCTTATGTTGCTTTTTTTTTTTTTGGTATGTATGATTATGCCCATGCTGACTAGAGACATGCAGGAGGTGTATGTCTTTCCTAAGCATGGCACTGAGAGAATTCGAGTTGTCCGAGAAGTCCGATGGGGGGTGGTACGAAATGATGATGAATTTTGTGGAACTGGCAAACCGTGGGGGGGGGTAAGGGA